TCTCAGGACTGCAAGATGACTATCCTCACTAGCCTGGTATTTTGAGAATTGTATTTGGATGATCCGTAACAATCTTATCTACATCAAACGTCAGTTATGTTCTTTTGCAGGCAAAGCGTGCATGTGAATAGCTGCCTTCACAAGTCTGAGATTAACAAACACGCACTGCTACACAAATGCACATATTAACTCCGGATAACACACACATTTGTTTAAAATTAATTCTGGGGTGTTCTTGCAAATAAGTTTTATGGCTGTATGAAGAAAGGCTATAAAATGAGATTGGGCTCCTTGGTAGGTGGCATGTTACATTTTTTTTAAGAAATATTATTCCTCCCATATAAATGCACAACAGATGTAACATTCAACCTAAGCAGTAAGATTTATTACTATTTTTAAAGCAAATTCAGCACAGCTTAAGAGAACACTGTACAGAATTCTTTAAGCTAGGAAGAAGTTCTTCTGGTCATCGATGCATGTTTTGCATTTGTCAATTCTGCCCTCAAAGACAATCCACAGTTTAGTATTTTAGGCTTCTTACAAAGGTGATGATCCTGCAATTCAATCTCCTAATGAAGCACATAGTGGTCTCCCTCTAGTCACTGCAGGCATAGGCTCATATCTTTGCTTTTAGCATCAAAAGAAATCTGCATGGCTTCTTTGGTCTCTTTCTGAGCCCCAAAACATTCCAGGTGATTTACATTAAGTGTACTACCAACAGCACATGCAATCAAAAGCAATTTTCACACATTGTTTGGCAATGAAAAAAAACGTTACAGCTGTGATTAAAGAATGGAGTCTCTCTTATATTCACTTCTTTACCTCATGCACTTTTGTATAAATATTTATTGTTTCATATTTTCTTCAGAAGCCATAGTTCTTCTGTTTTCTAAAAATAATCTGCTTATGCATAGCCTTCTCTTTTCAAAGCACCATTGTTCTTCCCTTCGTTAAGTTAATTTCCAAGATCTCTGTGCACGGAAATTAGTGAAAGAGGGATATGTGCAACTTTACTAACAAACACGTTAAAAATATCTAAAAATAAGGAACAATTCTTGGATAAACACTTTCAATGGTAAACAGTCCTGTGAAAAACCGATAGGCCTCCATGTCATGTAGTAATTTCATATTTTGCCTAAGGGCAGGAAACCTAAAAATTAAAACACATCTGAACATAATATTAAAATCTCATTTCAAGAAAACATTCATTTTTGTTGCTCAACAGCTTCAACTGTCAAGTAATTTTTTTAGTTTTTGCATTTCACTTCATCTAACATAAACCTGGATGGTCCAGCAGGCAGCCCCTGACCACCACTCTCCATTCACCTCGGGTGAATCCTGCAGCTGACACTGTTGTATTCACACTGGAGAAATCAACGAATATGAAAGTTCATCTCCTACCCCACCATGCACATAGCCAAGCACTTAAAATTGTCAACCTCTATACAGCCTATAAAGAGAGAATCCCTGCATTAATATATGGCTTTCACCACATTGTTCTGATATGGACAGCTACCAGCTTGTGACCAAAATTGCTTTCTGATCTCAAGTTCAAAGCATCACATCAAATTTGGGGCTGCTGAAGCACATTCTCTTCCTGGAGAAATGCATGGGACAAAGTTCTTGGATGCACCTCTAGAAGATCCAGGCAACATCGGGAACACTGCAGATCTGAGATCCTATCATATGCATTGCCTCATCATTTAAATGGATGCTTTTCCAATTCATCACAGTTACATATGCCTGCAGATTCTCTCTGAACTGCTCTTCCCCAAAACTCTTTAGTCAAGGAGTGGTTCATCAGTTAGCTCCCTAGACATGGAGCACTTTAGGTAGCCCTTTAGTAGGAGGTATGCTGACAATCTTTAAGAAAGGCTGTAATCCCACCGAGTGTCTCCCATTGGTGACTGCACATCAGCCAGGACAAGGGGTTCCCAGACTTTTTAAAGGGATGCATCTGTTTTCTGCCAGAGAAAAATCACACTAAGTCTTCACCTCTCATTAATGGCTGTCAGATTCAGGGTACTGATATCCATACAGATATTGCATATTCTATTTGAAAAGTATCTGAGTGCATTTGCAGTGAGTATTGGGATTAGATCCACAGGCCAGGGAAGTTTCTACCCATCTAGCACACAAAAGCACTGCTTTAGTTCTCTTTCATTTTACACTGGTTTGGTTTGGTTGGTTTTACAGAAGTAGTAGCAGTGGAAGAGGTGTCAAAAGCAAGCAACTTGACCTGTTCATATATCCTCTTTACGATATGGCTTTATGCTAAGTCTTTCTGGTATCTGGCATAGTGTCTGGCTTTCTTTAACACAGTGGGAACATCCATCTCTACTGTATCCCATCCGTTTGGGGTAAGATTTGACATCCGAGAGAAAAGAGTGCTATTTTCACTCATAAGATCAAGAAGTTGATAGCCATGCCTGCTGTATGCTTTGCTGCGATGAAGGAAATATGATTCTCTGTCCACCTGCAAAGATACAGAGTCTCTTGGACTTGAAGAATGTCCTCAGTCGGAGACAGAGATCCTTGAGGAAGTGACCACCAGACTGTCAAACATTATCAAAAGACTGACTAGGGCATATCTCAGAACTAGGACTGGATACTCCATTACATAAGTGCATTTTTGCCTATCCTTTGAGCAAATTTCAGTTCAAGGCGTGGGGATTTCAAAGTACCTATATTAAGAAGTAAATCACAGAAAGGCTCATCAAACTGCAGGCACAAGTAAGGGGTTTTTGTAGTTCTGCATATGTCAAATGAGAGATGTTGTTCTAAAGGTAGAAATGCAATGGATAGGTTGCACTGCTTCAAGAACAACAGGATTTTTAAAAAAATTCTTCAAGCTTTACCTTTTCAGGTATTTTGAATATCGCCTGAAATATCTGATAACATAGTGGTTGGCAAATGGAAGGAAAGGAGGGAAGAAAAAAATGCTGAAAAGTATTCTGGAAATAAAAGACAGTTAATCATTCATGTTGTCTACAATTCCTTTGGCTCACAAAAGTCTCAAGACATACTCTTGCTTCACAGTAAAAAAAAAAAAAAAAAAAAAATTCCTCTACTGTCCTACCTTCTCTCCTCTACAATGTACAATGGAATCCAGAGTCCAGAGTCACAAACTGCCTGGACTTCACAGGCAAAGGGCATGTCCTAAAGCAGTTCATTTCATGCCACCCTGACACCCCACAGGCAGCCTTTCCCCCTAAAGCAAAGAAGCAAAGAACCTCACAATATCATTTTGTGTAACATTCTTTACATATTTTGACTTATACTCCCAAAGCACATTTATTTCAATCAGACCGTGCATATGTGGGTTTGGGGGGATTGTTGGGGTTTTTTTAGCTTTTTCCTTAGCTTGATATTCTGCACTCTTCCTGGAGCTAGCCATTTTGATTCAAGATTTTGCTTTGTAATGAAAGCAAACCAAGTACTTCAACTTTGAAAGAGAGACCAAAAAGAAGCAGTCAAAACATGTGGTGAGTCTTATTTTCCTTTAAAGAGTGACAAATCAGCATATTCAATTCAATACCCAGGATCAGTTAATTTTATCTGAAAAAGAAGCTTATCATGTAAGTTAACATTTGCTATGATTATAACCTACATAATGCTTATTTCCTGTGTAAAGCCCCCATAGTGCCCATACAAGTCACCTTCACACTTTAGGAACACGGGCATGGGGCAACATAGGTCACTGGTTATCAGCCTTTGTTTTACTTTACAATACATTCATGATTCTCTCTACTTCCAATGGCAAATACATCATGCTTTGTTGGCTGACGCTAGTATCTGATATTCTATCATTACCTTGGCTTCAAAGTGAGACAGTGATGCACATTTGTGTTACTCTCCCTTTAATGTAGTACAAAGCTGGACACAGCTCAGAAAGAAATCCCTAAAATCCATTACCTATTTATGATCATGTACAAACGGATATTTATCATGTTAAAAGAGAACCATATGTTAAAGTGGAGGCTAGAGCCCAATAAATCTTTTTGGATGCAAACCCTTTTCAAAAAAAGGAATAAAATAATTAACATTTGCTTTTGCCAATAGAAACATTTGCTCATGAATCTCCTGGGAAGGGAAGGGCATTTAACCTTTTTACATGCCATCCCCTCAGACATCTCTGACCCCCACTGCAAAATAGACAACAAAGATTCCCGACTCCACACTGCTGATTAAACCCCTTGTAAGAAACATCTGGATGAAATTTTCTTGGCAGTTGATTTGAAAAGAATACAACAAGCAGAACTAGGGAGCAGCCATAGTTCAGCTGAGTGACACAAAGATGATGCTATGCAAAAGCAGATTTTTCCTTGAACACATTAACTCCTAAATATTAGCTTGTGACTGTGCTAGCAACCTCATTAGCAGGAAAAAAAAAATCCTTCTTCTACTCCACATGCCAGTGCAGAGAAGGCGAATGGGCTTTTAAAGAAACCCAACTCAACAATCTCATTTTTTAAAATAAAATAATAAAGGGCTTAAACGGTTTACGTGCCTAATACTTCACTTGTCAGGTAAGAGAGAAGCCGTCCATGTCCTTAACTTCCAAAAACCATTTCTTAAATTTGTGAAGGATTTCAAAACTTCCATGGTTTATGAGAAACTCACTAACTGGATGTAATGCCTTCCTACTGTCTCAGTCAATACACCCCAAGGCCTAAATTAGCAAAAGTGACCTAAAATTTTCATGGCCTGATGTTCAAAATAAAGGATGCCCGAGCCCTCTGCTGCTTGAGCTTAAAGAGCCTGTCCAATGCAGCTCAATGTATTGTTCCCTTTTGGAAATACAGACCCTGGAATTCTCAGTTTTCCGTATGTACAACAGACCTCAAAGTGAGAAATTTTCACTGTTGCTATTAAGTGAGTAGCAGCAGTGTAAAACCTACATGAACCAGCCCAACTTCACTCTGCAGCTGCTGGGGGGGGGCGGGGAGGGAGGGCATCGGGGAGGGAGGGCATGGGGAGGGGGGAAGAAGCAGCATCAGAGAACAGCACCAGAGAGAGTCTGACACAAGAGTGCAGGAAAAAGGAAGGCAGCAGGGAACCTTCTGCCCCACAGCTGCCAGGCTGAGAAAATTCCAGGGGATGGGGCAAGGAACAGGCAAAGACACTTTGGCCTTTTCCAGAAGCCAAGGCGCAGAGCACTTCAGATGTATCAGACTGAATTATAATTACTCTGACATACAAAAAATGAAAGCTTCAGCACAGTGTAGGGCCAGCAATCCATAATTCGCTCCAGTCATTGAAAATTTGATGGGGGATGGGAAAGACTTCGACTTTTCAGTTGGGGCACTGCTCTAAAAGAAATACATTATCAGTATGTGCTTAAAACTGCTTCATAAATATTTTTTAAGTCATAAAGAAATTAACACATAGAGACAAAATCTGGTCTAAATATTTTATCTCCAATCCAAACCTCACATTGTAAAGCACCCCTACTTATTTTGGCCACACCACTGCGATCCAAATAGATCTAAAGGAGGGGCACCTATTCAAATTAGTACTGCTATCAGTTTATCACTAAATAAACATATTTACAGACACCTTGTTATATGTGTTTCAGTTTATGAGAAACCAGTCTTTGAAATTTAGGAAAAAATCTGGCAGATAATGAAATTTCAGCATGGGACAAGAACAGCCAAATGGAATGCAGACCAGAAATTCAATCACAAAAGTGTAGGAGTAAGAAGAAATAAGTTTGGAGCTGTTTTTTTCTATTAAGATAAATAAAATATTGTAAATATTTTGTACCACATTATTCAGTACTACCACTGGAATGGTAATGAATGAATAAAACCAGAAAAGACATTTATAGAATCCCAAGTAAAATCCAATATTCATCAAAAATAGTGGAAATAAAAAGTTGTCATGTAGAACATCTACATGCGAGGGCCACACCACTTGTCCAGGCAAGAGGTAATATCAATGTGGATTTAGGGTAGCCACCTGCCATGTGTGCCATCATAACTCAAGCGAGTTGATTTCATGGCTAGGAGAAATAATTTAAGACTACTGCATCAAGGGAAAATCTGCAATTTTGTTAAGACCCTTTGACGTAACCAGTGTATGCTTTACAACTCCAACAGACACCTCCCTCTACACATTTGGTCTGCACCAAATAGGGAAGATGAGATAATATTCTGAATCCAGCAATGTGTACGCAACCAACGAACAATTAAACCGAGTAGTAAAAAGCAGGCGACTGGAAAACATGGAACCAAGGCTTACAGTGTATCAAGAAATGTCCTTACACTTAAAAAATTATAATGCACTCCAAAATCCATTTGTTCAGGCAATCCATGTACAACAGAAGGCACTGTTATCCATATGAATCTATCAATTCTGCACAGCAAAAACCTGAGAAGTGCAACTCAATTAGATGCAGCCTGGCCCCTCCCAGTCATTCAGGTTCCTTGAGGACAAATGTTTCCTTTCAGTCCATCAAATTATAAAAACACCACAAGAATTTGTACATTACAGTAGCTGGTTAGAAAGAGCATTCTGGTGGGGGAAGCACACTGCTATTTTCCAGAAAACCTTCAGCAGCATTAAATCACCCTCCCCTATCACTCAGAAGTCACGATGATTTCAAGAAAATGTAATGATGAGACCCTTCCCATTGACCTTTGTAGCTGATCCTTCAGTTGCCACCAGGAGTACTTCCAACAAAGTTAAATGCTGTGATCAGTCCTTTGTTGTCAAATGTGTAGCCACTTTGTTGTTCTATTGACTTAGTCTCTAGAATTCAAAAAAGGGAAAGGATATGAAAAATAGTCTATAGAGAACATCTTTGCCAGAGACAATACAGCTCAGCTAAGAATGCAAAGTTATGGGAAAAACTCTCGGTTGAGTCAAAATTTCATTCCCTATGTGCAGTGACAGTAATAAATTACACTCAGATTTTCTCTAAATGCATAAACGCACACACCTCTACAACAGAGCTGAGAAATTAATCTTTTACAGAATCGGTCTGTGTTACACTATTCTGTGTGCTTTTTCATTAAATCTGAATTTATTTTCCACAGTGCAAGCATCCTAAACATCTAAAACCTTACACTGACTGTGAAGACAATGTTAGCAGTTAAAAAGTTATTACAAAACTGTTAAACACATAATAATCTATAGTAACCTTCATCAAATGCCTGGCTGACAGCTAGATATTGCCTTAATTTGCTCTTCATTTCAAATGTCAGATTGTGCAAAACTAGTTCGTACCCTGTTCAAACAGCAGCACATGTCAATGAGAAGGCAATTAATTAGAAGCAACAGTAATCTCTCTGAATAACACACACTTCCAGGCAAGGGATAATATAAGCGCAATATCCTACTCATGCTTCTTAGGAAATCTTAATTAGCATGGAGATTTAGTCTCTCTGCTGTTACACATTAGATGCAGTTCCAACATCCCTGCAACACATAAAATGGCCCCAGAGAAGTGACCCACCTGCAGCATTTCGCCGGTGTTCTGCTAATGTATAAATTTCCTGCAGCTGTTTCTTCTGATCCTCACTCAACGGTTCTGTCAGTGAATGGTACCAGGCTGCATCTCGGCTCTGCACCGCTGTCAGAACAGGAATGGATGAAAAGTGACTATCAGGCTACACTGTAAGTTAATTTCAGAAGAACAAAATGAAACACACGAAATCCCTGGTTGGTTTTAAAACATAATTTGCACTGCAAAACAGGGTCAGTATTCCTGTCAGTTTTCTTAGTACAGAATCACCACTGTAAGAGAGGCAATCCATTTTGGGGAACTTAATTACATCCTCTGTTTTCTGAAACAGAAAGTTAACCATGTGGTGTTATTCATGGACAATGATGAAGTGAATCTTCTAATTTAAAACTCATATCAAAACTAAAAGCAACAGGATTAGTCAAACAGAAAAGGGAGAAAATAATTACCCCATTATGATTTTAAAATCTACAAAGTGACAAATACTTCTATATATAAAAGTCCCTCTAGTGACCGAGTACCACTTATTTAGGCTGTGACTGAAAAGTTCTGAAAGAGAACACGAAGAAAATTAATCTCAGGCTGTATTTGATACCAATTTTTTTTTGCAGTACTTATAAGCCAAAAATTCTTAGGACTGGACTAACATTAGAAAGCAAGATCACATTTTCTAGTTTCAGTAATCTAAATTATTACTTCTAACAAAGACAAGGTTTTCACCTGGTGATGATCATAAACATCTCTAAACTATTTCATTGTGTTATATCATTCTGCCAAATAGCCAACATATACCTAGAAGTGCTTGTGTAAAAAACTGGTATTCATCAACACCATTTTCAAGGTCAAGAGGTGTGCTGAACCCTTCAAGAGCAGTCTCTTCCAATGCATCTTCATCCCAGTCATCATCATCATCATCTTCATCCTCCTCCTCTCCACCTCCTCCACCACCACCACCACCTCCTCCTCCTCCTCCACCATGGTTCTCTTGCATCGCCTGGCTCACTTCATTTGTCTCCTCCTCATCACTCGGTATCTCTTCTGCAAAAGCATTGATGTGTTTTGTAAAATAAAGTTTAAAAAGTATAAGGAAACAATGACTTATGAATGAAGAACGATTAATAATCTAGGTTTTGGCTGGAAAGGGGACCCTCTGTTAACACCCTTCCCCCAAAATCTTAGAAGAACTGGAAAAATGAAGCTGTTAAAACGTTTCCTACATTAAAGATCAGTTAAACTTTTGTTTCTAAGCACACCTGGGGAATTTGAAACTGCCACCTTTTTTCTTCTTTCATTTATGCAGTCATTGTGCAATTATAGGATCCAAAAATTTTGAAGAAATGTGTCTTTGACAAAGTGTTCCATCAGTGTGCTTTTTAAATTACGAACAAATAGAGACTTGCATAGACTTCACATATTGACACAAAACAAAGAGAAAACCAGATGTAGACCAAATGTCTGCCTGCTATTCTTCAGAATGCTCCTTTATCTGAACAAACTTAAAATAGCATCTTTCATTTAGCTTTACCTTTCATTCTGCTTATGAAACAACTGTTACATCCTGAATTAAATGCAACTCCAACTTGCAATTCTAAACACTGCTATTTCTTACTTAAGGAAAAATATTTCTGACTTACGATCAAGATAAAAAAACAATCCCCCTCCAATTCCAAACCTTCTGCTTTTCCTGTGTTAATGGTTTAGAAAGAATAAAGATGACTATATCTGCAACAAGCAGGGTCTGAATCACAGGACAGAGATTTGAAAATTACTGTGCTGCTTCTATACTGTATTCCTATGCATTGAGAAGAATTCTGTAATTCCATTACAGAACAATCATGTGTGAAATTTGAGTGGATCACATAATCTGCTTACAACCAATCTAATTTTCAGACCTCAGACCATCTATCTCCTGTTCCAAGTCAAATACAGCCACACATATCTGCCTGCAACGCTGTGTAAAATTCACTCCCCACTATTCCCTCCACAAGGTATTCTTTGATGTTTTTCCTCTTCTGGCAGACACAGCTGTAAGAGGTCTCTCTACTCCAGGAACCTCAGCTGTCTCAAACCCCACTTTGCAAATCACTTTCCATTTGGACAAAGAAGACTTGCTAGGATTTCCTTAAAAGTTCAACCAAACAGGTCTTTCAAATAGTTGGGTACTAGGAACAGCTTCTTTCCAGGAATCAAGAATATAACCAGTGCAGTCCTAGCAAACTCCTGCTGCCTATGTGAGAAGACAAAGCACATTTGCAATCCAGAAGAGCAGACTTGCAAGTTTTATTGTTACTCTTAAACCAATACTACCCTTTCACAAAGTGTTAGCTCTTACACATTGAAACATTTTGACTACATTTTGGGAGGAAAAATCAATTCCTAAGATGATCTTTCAAGCACCCAGTAAGCCGAGCTATTTTCAGCCGACTAATGAGTCTTAAAAATGAACTGCAATTTCTTACCCCCTTTAAATTAAATCCAGACAAAATCCACAATGTGAAAAGGGGAGATTTTACCATTATCTTCTGCAACGTGTTTTTCATCTTTAGCATGATCCTCATGTTCTGTGAGTTCTCTTGAAGCGCAAACTTGTTTTAAGCCCAGGAAGAGGAGGAGGATTGAAGGGACAATCTGGGCAGCCACAGCATCCACTGCAGGCGGTCGGTTCTGCAATTCCATTAGGATGCTCAGTCCTATTATACACATCTTTCTGTCATGGAGTCTGAAACAACACACAATTATTAGACAAAAACCAGATTTTCACTGTAAGAATATGTAGACAGCATTAAAGTCCTGGTGCTTGACATGACAGAAGACAATGTCACAGAGACTATGTTCAAAGCCTATTTTCAAAGCTCCTAAACACTTTATTTCCTTTGTTCTGAATGCAAGTTCCCCACTGGAAAGTCCTTCTCCAGTAACAATTAAATACCTTTCAAGCACTGGTCAAATTCCTGGAACAACTGTTCCTGATTACCAGATACAAAGTTTGTAATACTAAATAAATACTGTTTAATAACTATGTAGAATATCTTGTCTTTAATAAAGCATTTGATACAGATTATCATCATTAAATATGATGGAAAATGAATTTGCCTTGGCTTCGATAGCAGTACTGTAGCAGGGACTAAAATAAGCAAAAAGACTATCAGTGAAGAGTAATCATAAGCAGGAATGCACTGAATTGCAGGGTGCATTTATGCAATGCCACAGGGCTAGCTGTATTTAAACATGTTTATTAAGAGTCCATCAGAATGGCTGTATTATACACTCAATTTCCAACACTAACTTGAGACACATTGCTAACTCCAGTGAAAGCAGGGAAATAATTCCACCATATCAAGAATAACTGGCAGTACACTCAAACAGGGAACCTCCAAATACATAGACCTCCAGTAAAACAAACAAACTATAGATAATTGAAGGGAAAGAAAATAATGAAATTAGTAGCAGAAAGCTTTTTATATGAGCATAGTCAGGAAACTAGGTAAGAGCCTACGCTCTTAAAAGTAAGAATTGATTTTCTCTTCCAGAAATAGAAGTTATTTGCAAATAAAACAGGGAAAAAAATCTCTAACTGCCTCTGCAGATATTCTTTGGTTCTCCTTTACTGGAAACACTGGTAGAATTCAACTCTTCTCTATCATTATGGTATTTTGCTATTAAGGGCTTGAGAGGAGCTTGTTTTGTTTGAACTATTCAGTTTGATGCTGACAGCTTCTGTGCAAGCCTTCTGCAGGACAAGTAGTTCCAGCAAGAAGTTCCAGCAAGACCTACAAAAACCAAGCAAACTTCCAGAGCTGGCAGAAAATGGCCATTCTCCAGACCCTCAGTAGATACTTCCAATACTGAATCAGTTTTACTTTGGAATGAAGAGGATACAAGTTGAGAGAGAAGAAACCAGTAAGATGTGCACAGACTGCAATAAAGCTTACAGGGGGAGAGCCAGCTCAATCCACCACTTCAAAAATTGCTGTAGAAATACAATTTTAAAAGTGCTTACAATTTCATTACCAAAGATCCCATATAACATGCTACTGAACTATAATATTCTTTAAGTAATACAAGTGATCATGTGTTACAGCTTTCTGAACTTTACATGTGCTTAAACAAGGCTGGGGATCTGGAGGGATTTCATTATACCTCCCACGTTGTTAGTCCTGTTAGGGCTTAGTGAGGTGATTCCATTCTCAGAGTAGTTGACAACAACAATAAATTATATATGACCACGGGTAACATTATGATCACAGAAGACCTTCCAAGAAAAACAAAGTCAACTAGCATATCAAATGGCATACTTTGTCATGTTGGGTTTGGCTGCTCCATTACATGTTGAAAAATGTTCCAAAATGCAAGTAGGTGAAGAGCATCCTTCCATCACTGGTAACTGCAATACTTTCTCTTCAGAAGGAATGGGGCACAAAAGAGGCCACACAAATCAACCAAGGAAACTGAGTCTTTCACAAAAAAACTTTCACAAAAAACTTTCACAAAAAAAAAATTAGACCCCTTACGCCTGTCAGTTTATTCATGTTGAAATCAAGCTCATCGCCATTTGCTCTCATGCCAACACTGTGAAGACCAAAATCCAAGCTAAAGATGACGCTACCGACGAATGAAGCATAGCTTTTTTGGGAGAGTTGTCCTTATTGCAAGTGCAAAAGGAAACAACTTTCTCTACCTCCTCTCTCTGCCAGCACCGTCATCCAAGTTTGACCAAAGCTCTGTAATCTATGCAAAAGATTTCTATCCTGCATCTTGACACTGGGAAGACATGAGGTTTCTTCAAGCCCCAAACGTATAATGAAGCAATTTCAGTGTACATGCGCCAGAGTAGTTAATGACACTTGGCACTACCTTTTATAATACATTTGAAAAAGCTACCGTTACACAATGCCAACTGCAAAATGAAACACAGTAAAATGTAAAAAAATCTTAGTAATTAGTGGCTTAGCTTCATACTAAATTATGTTTTCTGGACAGCAAACAAAAGTGCAAGAATCAAGCATTGCTGTTTAAAAGGGAGTCATCATTAGAAAGCAGCCCAAATGGCCAAAAAATACAGCATATTTGTCATGCTCCATTTTCAAGCTTCTAACCAGAGAAGTTGTGAGAATGAACACATGTCTTCAGAATATGTCTGTTATTAGAAGGCCCAGCAGGACAGCAGAAATCCAGGCATTAAGCCATCTTTAGTGAACCTGAGCCAGAAGGAGACTTGTTCCTTCCACCTGCCAGCAGAGACAAACAGCAGGATAAGCATCTGCCTTGCCTGAAGTTCAGCATTCTACTATGCCACAGCTGTATCAAGTACCCACAGGACTGGACAAGCAAAACAGAGTTTTATGTCATTTACATATTTTTGTAATGGCAAAGGATGGTTTCAGGACTATTCCTTTGCTAGCAAAAGGCTCATTATTTCAGCACCCTTCTGTCTGCACGAGGGAACTTGGATATGATTCTCCTCAGTGATTTGTGCTTCGAGATCCATACTTATTTGCTCAGCAACACACAATAGTCCTCCCTAACAATCACGAACTCTCCTTGCTCCCTCACTGGTATATGAAGCCTGAAGTGCTAAACATACAACACATGGCAGTGCAATGCACAACTCCTAGGTAAGTCTATTTTTAACAAGCTGCGTGTGGTCTTTATAATCTGCAGGACCTTTTCTTGCTAATACACTTCTTTCCAATATAGGACAAAAAGATCTAAGAATCTTTTGTATTTTAAACCAAGCTGAAAGCATTTCAAAAGGAAATCACTAAGCCTTTCCTTTACTGGTCTGCTGTGCTCCTTTATGTGAGGATCAAGTTGCTTTCTATTACATCAATCCAGTTCCTGGACAAACTGCAAATAATTAGCCATTTCCTTCTAGTTGCAAAGTTGGAACTAACCCTGTTTTCCTATAGAAGACTGGGATTTTATGTACACCTCTGAGAAAAATAGGATTTCTGACTATTTAAACTCCTATCAAATAAATCCCCCTATTCAGCTTCTAAAAAAATAAAACCACTTATTGAGGTTTTTTTGAAGCAAGTTGGATTTTCCTTTCACCCTAATTTCCACAGAAGAATTTTTAGATGAGAGTAAGCCTAAGTCATGCAGAAGTCTCACCCAAATTTCAGCTGCCAGGGAAAAGGTGGAAAACAATAAGGAACAAATGTTTCTACAAATGGCTTTTTGGTTTGAAGTTATTGTAGAAAACATTTAGAAATAAATAAATATAATATACTGTGGAACATGGGCATTATGGGCACACATCCACAAATACGTAATATCCACAATGACATGCTGGATTTATGCACAGTCTTACAATGAGTTCTGAGCTCTCCTTGCCTGGATCATTTTTAATATTTCCAATTTCTAATCAGTTTTAAATAGTTTCCATATTTTTAATAACATGGAAGAACAGTTACTTATCTTACCGTAACTGCTTTTCCCCTCCAAGATGTAGTATTCCCATGGATTCCATCTCATGCGTTCACAAGTGCTGCTCAAGAAATACTGCATTCTTCTGGCAAAAACCGTTGGCTCCAGCCTGAGACCATGCAGACATGCATAACCCTACTGCTGGCAGAGCAGGATCTATGAGTACTAAGACTTCACAGGAGCAGAATGACAGAGATTTATGTGCACAAAGCATCTTGAAGAGCTACTGTTACCGGTAAGTCACAGGTTTCCTGCACGGCTGACAAAGAAATGGCAGAAAGATTCACCTGGTCCTTCACACCTGGAGGTGGATCTATTTTGATCTTCTCCAGTTTGTCTAGGATCTGTGAGTGTTCCAACTGATTTGAATTTAAGCCTAAAACTGCCTCTTGCTGGAAAGCAATCAAAGTGTAAACCAAAGCAGCAGTGAATGATGGCTGGTGAGAAAAAGGACTATAGAAATCAGGGTGCCCACTGCTGTCTTCACTGATGAAGACATGAAGTCTGCAGGGGTGGACCCAAGGAAGGGTTTCAAGACAAACAGATTTTGTTTGTATTTCTGTCTTTTGTTGCTCAGTTAGGCCTCTGAATATCTGGCTGCTGTTCCGATGATGACCCTTAGTACCTTTACTAAAACAAACTGTCTTCTAGAAGCAGTGCTGTCCTGAGGGAAAGGGAGGAAGTCCCTTACATCACATCCATCACAGCGCCTGACAAGCAGTACTATAGCAAAAGCCCTACACCTGGAAGCCACATACTGAGGAGGCAGCACTGAAGGAAGAGTCATTTTTAGATTTAAGCAATATTACAGCTATTTATTTCACTGCTGGTAGCAGCAGGTCAAAGAGATATATTTTAATCTTCTGCTGCCATTCAAGTGCAGAGTCTGAGCAGAATCTAGCATCATGATCCCCGTGTTTCATTTTCATAGACTTTGTCAACTTTTGTCTCAGCTCTGAAGAAGAATTTAGTTGAACAGTAGTTGCAGTAGCTGATGCTTTTTGAAAAGCAACACAAAAGAACTGAAAGTTAAGCTGTAGCTCACAAGAGTACTTGAGGTTGGAGTCTAGTCAGATCTACAGCATTTTTCCCATCTGGATCTGACTAGTTTCTCATTGAATGCTCCAGGATGAACTTTTTAAGACTATAAATCTCTTTCATTTTTTATTTCTCTTAAAAAAGGAATTACAAGTTTACCACCTGCAGGGAGTATCTTCTTTCCTACTGTCTCTGTATGCGTTCAGCATTTGATACACAGTAGAAAAAATGACAGCACAAAGAGCTGAATCTCAAGAACTTTGCTCCAGCCATAAAAAAAAAAAAAAAAAAATCGGTACACAGAAATCCTAAAATGCCTTGCTCTTTTCTAAAGTCAGTAGATATAAAAATAATTTAGTAATTAACAATAATATTACCACAAGGCATTGGAGAGGTAGACTTTAAGATGCCATTTTTCAGTCACTGGCATTCCACAAGAAATGAAGGACGTTGGGTCCTTTATGCCTTCTTTGTCAACTCAAGTAACCCCTCTAATTGATAAGATGTGCATTTGTGTTAAGATACAGGATGTACTGTAGACATTTTGTATACTCAGCAGGTAGAAGTCAGAATCCTTGTGATCCTATGAACGGTCTGGTTTTGTTATAATGAATAAGAGATTTTTTTCCCCACTTTTTACCTATTTAATTTAGTATTTTTAATTTTTTTTTTCTTCAAGGAGAGACTGCTATAGTAATACCTTCAAATACAGACACAAATGGGGAATCTGCACTGTAAACACCAAAGCAGTCAATTTCTCTTATATCTCCAAGTTGCTTTCATTCTAGTAAAACAGACAGAATTAATGTGCAGACCTGAAATAAGGTAGTCTATGCTGCAATTCTACAAACTACTGCACTTTCATCCTCATCCCACTAAACTGTGTAGTTAGGACAGAGGAGGGAGGAAAACAATTTTTACCATGTACATTTGGTATGGGTTTTAAAAATCCTACAAAAGACATGCTGAGAGCAAAATATACCAGTTGTTCATTGATTGATTGGAAGTCACTATTTTATTACAGTTATGAAAAAGGTAATGCAGTGCTGTAATGCACCACACAGTTCTAAATTAAAGATGGACACTGAGGCAATAATGCAGCTATAGCAAGATGGCATATAATTCTGTTCAGGGAAGGTTAACTCAAATAAGAATTGGTATGGAGAAAAGCTATTTGGATGACTGGGGATTGGAGAAACCATCTTGTAAGAAGCCCCACAGAGACTTATTTAGAACTGGAAAGACAAGACTCTACCAGTAAAAAACAGGTAGGAAAAGAATGACAGCCTAAAATAAGGTATGCATCCATGGGTCAGGTGCTGCCTGTCTCGGCCCATGCTCATTCACAGCATGACTCCTAACACGCTGGCACTTCACTTAGTCTGTTGGCATAGACTATGCACAGAGAAGACATGTTCTAAGCCTATCCATACACGGGGAGTCAGAAGTGAGCCCCCAATGACAAAACATAACTCAAAGCAGGAAGGTGAGAGGTAGCTGTTAACTACATCTGACTGTCTGCTTTGCCCTTAAGTGGATTTGAATCTCACAGTCAGACACCACATCTCAGCTGAGTGGCTGAAGCACTAACTGTCAAGCACTGGACTTCACATCCACCCAGCATCAAGCGCATGCTTAGCTATGTGATGACAGGCTTTGTCCACCTTCATTTACTTTACAAAGGTTCAGCTCCTGCCCAAGTGCATGCTCCTGCAGTGTACACACATGTTCAAAGGAGGTCGGAATGAAGTTTAAATTCAGGAGTATGCTAAACAGTCAGTAGATCAACGGCATAATGATAAATATGCAAGTTGATCATGAACAACTTGCAGGGATTAAAATCAGAGTGTGGGATTCATTGGACACAATAATGGTTTTTTAACATTCAATGGAGCAGTTCAAAATACTTTATAAAATACAGAACAGAAAATACATATACAGTGTTTCAGAAAAAAAGGTAACAGCTCACTGAAATCCTGTTGGTCAGCTCTGAATATTACCCTTAATGCATGCTGGACCATCTCTTGGAGAAGCAGATAGTTTGTGATTAAGGAACTTAAAAGAATTCTGAAATATGATATGCATTGTACCATTGTATCCTCACAACACAGAAAATTCAGCACGTAGGTCAACAGACCTGGAAAAGTTACATGGACATAGGTCACCTTTACTGGCATCGCAGCAATTAGACCTGGTGTGGATTACTGTTATTTAGACTAACCAAGGAATGAGAACTCTTTCATCAACATGACTAGGGATATGAACAGAAGTGAACAAAAAAATCAAAACCATGGACTTTTAAAAGAAAAAAGACAATACTTGCCCAAGAAAACAGTCTGTGTCATTCATCCACTGGTTTATGAACTGCGCAGTAATGGGCTCAGGATTGTGTGGAAATCTGATGTTCTCTAAAGTGTGCAGAAGTAGGTCAGGATTGTAGTAGAGTGCAGCTATGGCAACCTGAAGACACATGGTACGAAGCTCGCTTGTTTTAACTCCTCTAGTTAATCGCTCCAGAACAGCCTCCACAAACAGTGGAATACACTGGGCATATAAATATAAAGGAGAAGAAGAGGAAAAAAAAAAAACCAAACCGGCATTATACATGTTGCCAGATTATATGAAAGTTCAAAAAACTTTTACCAGAATTGATCTCCAGAGTTAACTGAAGTCCAGGTATAACCTAGGAAAGCATTCTATTCAATTCCTAGTATAAAAGCATTTTAAGCCTCTGATTACATGCTTTATAAATCTTCCCCAAAACAGCTATTCTCTGAGCTAAAAATTGCCAATGTTATTCTCAGCACAGACAAGAATATTTGGGGCCATTTGGTGGAATTTGTTCTAGTGTGTATAAAAGGTTTAGAAAAGAACTCAAAGACATTCTTATCTTTGCAGAAAGATATCCAGCAATTTCAAAACTAACAGGCATTAAAAATGAAATTACCTAAACATGCAAGAAAAAGAAGTTTTTCCTAATAAATGTAAAGTGATGTTAAATTTCCTCTAAAAGTTTGAAATGGGTGAGTTTATTCAGATAAAAGTATGCACAAATTTCTACACAATTAAATAAACATCTACAAATATTTCAGTGGGCAGGTTTATGCTTTATAATAATCTGTGAAGCATTACGAATGTTTTAGTTTATGAGTTTCAGTTCAGTGTGCAAACATTTTAATTCACAGAGTTGTGGAGTGCAATTAAGCCTTCCACCACATACTTATATCAATGCAAATGCCTACAATTCACTTTAATCCCTTCCAGATTTCTTTTAAAAATAAAATCTTTCAGGGAACATTTTTATCTTCAATGACTTCAGATTCACATTAGTAAAGTTATATTGGTTTCATTGAAATTAACTGAAAATTTATCACTGAAGTCCATGCATTGTACTGTGGCAACATCAAATATGATATGTTAAACTAATTTAGGCTGGAGTGTTATGTAAAACATGAGAACAGAATTTAGCCCTTCATAGGAAAAAGGCTACTATCTAAGACCGTGTTCTAAGAAACTCAGGAAAATTGTGTTTATGTTTTTCCCAGCAATCACAAATCAGCCACACTAAAAATTCTTCATTTCCAAATGCACTGAGTAATTAGAAATATTAAAAAGGACCAAGTTCACATTGTTTGAAACAACTTCAGTAGTTGGATATGTATAGGTTAACCTCTCAGCCACAATAGTTTTAACAATGTGTGTTTTGCATCAGAAGGGAAATCCTATTGGAAGAAAGCAAGAAAAGACAATCCTGCACATCATACTATATCGTTCTCATTCTGCCTATATTCATTTTCCAGTCATGCCCTCTAATCTCAAAAAAAAATCTTTCTGTATTTCTCCCCATTCCTACACTTTACATTTTCCTTAAATTCTCTAATTCCAACTGCTTTTCTCAGAAATCATACACATATCATTGGAAACCAATAAAAGAGAAAACTTGTTCAATATATATCACCTGGTCAATACCCCGTCCTTTGCATTGAAGAACAATTACTTCTAGGAGTTTGGCTGCATGGCACTCTGCATCTTCTCCTGCATCTCCTGTTAATACCTAACAACCAGAATGACAATTTAGTTTATTAGTATTAATCACTGACAAGTCTGAAAGCAAGTGCTCCTGTACCTGCACACATCAAAAAGCCTCTACATGGCGTATACATATCTGTTCATGCTATATTTTGTGAGGAATTAAGACATATAAAAATCATCTCTACAGGACATAAACAACAATAAGTGGCTAAAGATGAATTTAAGAATTTAGAAGAAATTGCTATAGTTCTTTATGAATGTTAGTATTCTTTATATGTCAATGCTTTCCCTTTTTTAAAGGAAATGTTACTTGTATGAATCATTGATATTTTCCACATTCTGTTCCTGGTTTTTTACTTCAATTCTAATAGACACTGGCAGATTAACAGTCTGGCAAAGTGAAGTCCTATGTCTAGGCTAGTTGTATGTACGTAATCACTCTCTCTATATATGCATATACATGTGAAACTGACTGCTTCTTCTCAGTACATTTCAACCCTACATTCAGTGTCAATCAAACCTGACAAAGAAGCAGAATTCTGAAACACATGCAATTTCTATAAGTTTCTTAAAAATAAGCAGGTAGCTAGATGCATAACACTCTATAGTGCCCAAAATCAGAGAAAGGCTGCAGTGTGGTCTCACACTTTATTATACATGAGAGAATCAGCATAAAAGAAACATTGTAAATGTAGGAAGAACTTCAAATGAGTTTGCCCCTTAGCTGACAACTAAAGAATCCAATCGCAAGATAAAACAACACAGGAAATACAGGCTTCATTAATTCCTCTACTTACCAAAATAGCTGTTCATAGAAGAGAGTCAAGATAAACAGCAACTTTCTCCCACACAGATTTGTGCATGTAACTTTTTAAAAAGCATGTCACTTAAAAAGTGTGAAGGTGCTATGTGTACTCAGAACTGAGACGACACCAAATTTCATTTTGTTCTGAAATGACTGGCCACCACCTGGCATGTTCAGGTCACTCCGCTAATCTGATTGTTAAGTACCAGTGATAAAAGCGACAGTAAGAATCAGAAGCCTTACCTTTTTACACATAGCATAAATGATTTCTAAATGCTTTGGGTTAGACAGTAAAGTATCAGTGTCAATGGTCACATAATTATGCAATAGAGGCATCATATCTGCAGAACAGGGAGAGCAAAAGAGAAAAAAATTACAAACTAATCCATGCAAGTGCTAACTAACCAGTGAGGTTGTAGACCTATAATGGAATTCATTAGCACAGATTCCTGGGTATGGTTGGAAATCCAAACTCTGCAAAAGTCTATTCTAGCAGAATTCTTCATGAAGTGCACCATGCAGGGTGCATTCTCAGAAGAGGAAATAGAATAGGACTACATTTTAATTAATTAATTTGCAGTTTCACATTAACTTTGTATATTTCAGCTTTCTTTGAGTTCAGGACCTCCTACAATAACTGATCACACTGACAGATTTGAACATGTTTCTCCCACTTAAATACACTCCTGTTACACTCCCACACTAAACAGACAGTCAGGGCATGACTCAAATACAGGATCATTTTAAACCAAGACACTAAATGGAAGTGACCCTTATTAAGGTGGGTTTTAGAGATGAATCCCTAAACAGTGGAAACATCAATAGAATAGAAGTGATCATACCTGCAAAGTACTCAAAGCAATCCTGCTGGAAAACCTCATATAGAACACCTAAAAGCTGCCACATTTGAGGTGAAATCATCTGGCATGTCAAGCTGTAGGCCAAGGAGAGAATTTCTTCGTAAAACTCTGGAAAGGAGAAACAATCTGAAGTAGGGTGCTTTAAAAAATAAGTTTAGCTTGCAAATACCTTGAAATCTGAAACCAAGCCCCAAGTCATATAACAACTAGAAGACTGCAATTAGTAACTAAATCAACATGTAGAAAAATAATACAAATTGGAAAAGACTCTTAGATGGGCCTTATGTTGGCTATAGTCACAACAATATGCATAGTTTTTCATTATAAATACACACCTGAAAAATATCTTACCAGCACAGAGACATTGCTTCTAAACAATTTACTGAAAAACATTTTTATTTTTCAACATTTGCTTTTTCTTGAACGCCTTATCACAAAACTGTGTAGCTCTTTAGTGCAGGGTACAGATAAAGCAGTCATTTAATTGCAGACCATGTCCATAAAATACTAATGTAATTGTAGTGTTGTCCTTTAACACAGCTAGCTAAAACTATAACCAGAACTGCATCTTCTGCTTTTGAGTCTCACCTCCAAAACACAGTAGCCAGCCTGACTAAAGCACAAAAGGAGATCAGGGGAAACAAATCATAACTGAAAATGAATGCCTTCTTTTCTTTAAAGAAGCACACACACAAAAAAAAGATGAAGTTCTGTTCAGGAAGATAGTACTGTTTGCAATAATCAATTTATGAATTTTTAATGTAAAAACTTGTAATGTTTTTCTAAACATTATCTCTAAAACATACCTATAACGTGTTTCTGCAAAACAAGGCCAATGATCTGTAAACAAATGCTCTCCAGCTGTTGAGTTATCTGAAATAAAAACATAAAGCAGTTTATTTAAAAACTTAGAAATACAGTAATTTAATCAATGTATTTGACTAATTCAGTTTGAGAAGTTCTTCAAAGCAAAAAGGCTTTTATCACTTTTTAAATGCTGCAATAACAATCACAATATTATGAAATAAGGTCTCACTGATGTAAGTACTGAAATTTTCAATAAACAGTATTGCTTTAAAACTTGTCACTTACAGCATTTTTCTTTATTTTTAAAAAAATCTTATTTTATGGTTATTCTATAGATCCTATAAAAAACTGTATCAGTTGTCCTGTCTGGATATAAAGTAACACTGTACTCAAAGTGTTTGAGATAAAGCCTCTGTCCAAAATCTTTGAAGTAGAATGGGTTAAAAGGAAGAAAGGAAGAGATGCTTTTGCCTAAGGTCTATGGAGAGCTTCCCAGAGTAGGCTCAGCAAGAGGAACCCATACAGAAGTTGGGAGCATACAACTGTGCTGAAGTCAGGATTCAGCCTTGCCATGTTGGACAGTGAGACTACATTTATGAATTACACTAAATTACAAGGAGAACTATAAGGCCACATTATAATACTAATTAAAACCAGCAAATGCAGACATTTCATGTTTTTACCATAGGTCATTCATTACAGACATAATCTTGCAGGATGTCAGGCTTTCTGGGCTTGTTCTAGCAAAGAGTTTAAGTATGTGACCACAGATTCATCCACTTACCTTCAGACACTTGACTCAAAAGTTATCCCCTAAACTCTCTCCATACTTAATGGTGAAAAGGAAAAGAATTTCTAAGGAGTTTTCAGCCTCATATATCATTTCTATATCACTTATATCACTTGTAAAATGATTAAAGATCCTGAGATGAAGAGCACTCTGCACAATGTTTTAGTTTGTGCTTCACACAACAGAAAAACAAGCTGCTAAGTTTATACCAAAAATACCCCAACCCCAAAGGTTTTCCTAGGCTAAAACCTGAAGATCCACTTCAGACTATCGTTCCTGATGCTCAGCTTAGCTACCAGATTTCATTTTAGCTTTCAAAAGATGCAAGGCGTTTTTGTAAAGGAATGAAAGATGTTCTGAAACCCAAAGGAACACAGTGGTCTTACAGGAAAATAATTAGTATTTTAATGAATGTATTTTTTAAATTAGAAGCTTCATAAAAAAATTTCACACTTGCAATGAAACATTCTCACTGTACATCAAGGAAGCAAAACAATCTAGGACAAAGCACTTTTATGCCAAATGAGCTTAAAGTTACTGACTGACTTTGCCTCTCTGGTCAGTCACTGAACTGCTTCCTACCTCAGTCAGCCCAGGTGGTATAAGCAGAAAGAATCTCTTTCTTCCCTGATTATGTGAAACGCAGACTTACATCACACCACAACTGGGAGACCAATTCCTAGGAATTCTATCCAAGAAATTGCCGGGTAAACAACAAAATATGAGTCATCGTTGTAAAAAATCAGCCTTACACAAAATATTTCTCCCTAAAATCTATTTCAACAGTCTGTAATACAATCATCCAAGGAAGTGTTTATCAGAATAAAGGCTAAGGATTTTACCCTCAGGATATAAATTCCCCTCAAAGTTGAGGTCTAAACAATTAAGAAATCACAAAAGTAAACTGGGCTTTAAATTCAAATTTGTCAGAAATCACTTGGTACAAATCCACCATCCTGCTATAGTAAATGCACATGCATGTCAACTCAAGTAATGCAACATATAGAAGTGCTTGTTGTCATGAATGAAAGGCATGACGGAAGAGCAGGAGAAAAGAGGTATAAAAGAAAATCTCACCTCCTTGTGATCTTCCACAACTGTCAGGATAGTGTCAATTGTGTGCAAGATGCCCATGGCCATAACCGTTTTGTCCTCTACTTCCTCATATTCTTCACTCTGAAGTACTTTACCAAATATTTCAGCCTATGAAAAAAACCAACCAACTTGACATTCAAGAGCAAACTCACATTTCTAATTTCTCATGCAAAACCAAGACAGCTAATGCAACAGCAGCAATGATTTATCTGTAAGAGCTGTCAGCGTTGAAAAATATGCTCCTTACTTTTGAAAGGGGAATATAGAAAATTAAGAACTTCTCTTTTTTTGAGAAGTCTGGCTATGTTAAGTCATTTGAAATGTTAAACAGTTAGAGCTTGGCTTATTAAAACCAGTGACAAAATTCAGTAACTTTGAAAAACCTATAGGTTTTAAAGATGCTTCACACAGGAAAAAAAAATATTGTGAATACTAGAGGCGGACCTTTATAAAGATTACTTTAAACAATGTGCAGTTCAAACAAAGTTCATTAAATGTTTACCAAACTAGGCATGTGCTTCTGACTGGACTGTTATTTTAGTATTGTCTCTTACCAGGTGTTGCGTCATGTCAACGGCGATAGTAGCTACTTCCTGACTGTATTCACAGATCATCTTCTGGATTACATTAGTAAGATCATCATTTTCCGTCTCTCTAACAATGTGCAAGAGCTCTTGCATAACTGGCCGTACATAAGGCTTCACATATTCCTTGGCTAAAAAAACAATTGAAACTAGGTGAAATCAACTATCCATAAACACAAATATACAGTATCTCAAAACTACTAGGTAACTGATACTCTTGAACAAAATAATTTTTTTAAGTTTAATTTACTAACAACAACAACAACAAAAAGCCAAAAAACCTACCCAAGGAACTTTTACAGCCCATAACTAGTAAACTAACAAAGTAAATCAATTGTAGATTTACCACATTCAATACAGAAACGCCATCTACAACAAAAATCCACTGTTTGGGGGGAATACACGCCCTCATACATAGGCAGCATTCGTTCTTAAACATACACACTATTTCACTTCACTAAAGAAAAACAAAGACAGGTGTTATTTACTTTATTAAAAGAAATATGTTGATTGTAACTTCTTTTGTGCAGAGACCTGCCAGAAAAACTTGAATTCAGAATTCTGGGATGTATACAGTAACTAACGAGCAAGTAAAGCTGTCTAAACACAATGAAATGTAATGTTCTGAAATCTATGTCTTTAAATGGCAGAAATGTTTAGATACATCTGCACCAACTTCCTCATCTCTTCAAAAAAAAAAAACCAAAAACATCAGTGTATACAACTGATGAATCACTGTAGCATACCTTGCTCTTGGTTGCTTATTAATGTCTGAAGAGCTATGGCTGCTTCTACTTTGACAGGCATTTCCTTATCATCGATCAGGCTCTTCTTTGCCAATTCTACTGCATTCCTCAAGTTTAGCTCATTGTGAAATTTCAAAGCACTGAATGAATGAAGTACCCAACAGGACTGCATGACAAAAAGAAAAGCAAGTTAGGGACTATGGCAATTTGTAGAATTTTTTAACTGATTCAAAAAACAATGCTAACAACCTCTCTGTTTGCATGTATTGCTTTTTTTTTTCTTAATTATGGTGTATTCATACAGTAAACATAACACAGTTTCTGCACTCAAGCAGTTCTTTATTTTTCTTTCCCAAATTCCAATAAATTCAGTATGCACATAACTGGCACTCATAGTTTTGGTCCTTCTGGGGGAAAAGAATCAGAACAGAAATTAAAGAAAAGTAATTATTTGTTTATGACTGATATGGGCACTCGGGGATTTTCTTCAAGCTACACTCAAACTGTCATTATCTACCCTGTGGAAATCCTGCCTATTCTTCACAGCCATCCAACCACTCTAGTTATTGAGTTCTGCTAAAAAAAATGGTCACAAAAGGGCCACAACCACTGCTCAAATTCTCCAGTCCGATAGTAAGAGGTAAACAATAATATGACACAGACTTTTCATCAATTCATTTAACTGACAAATAATTTTTTTAAATCAAAATGCTGAAAAATTACTGTACAAGGTTGTTATTTGAAATTTTACTATGTATTTGCTTTATTTCTTTCATTAACATTCAGAATAAAGTCAAACTGCAAAGGAAAGAATCATGGCAAATACTGAAATTGATATAACTGGTGAACTTACTCTAGCTCTGAGGTACCCCAGGTTAGACATGAACAATGGAAATACGTGATTCTGTAACATCAGCTCCATTTGATCCTTGAAGACACTCTTCTGTTGGTGTAAATAAAAATTAATTTTCGAGACCATTCCTTTTACTTACTTCATTCTAGCCAGTAATCCATTTCAACTATCAACTACGGGAAATACAATGACTTATCTATGTAATAACGGTATTCTCTCATGAAAAGATCTGGATCTCGTACGTTGAACTGAACAAACCTCAGAAGCATAGCAAGTTCAAAGCTAGATAAGTGAAAGAACTGTATGTATAAAGCTCAGCTCTATGTTACTCATTACAATACCATAAACCGGAATTTTCATTTTCTTTAAGGCAACTGATTCCAGCAGATTTTTATTAAAAATTAATTAAGATCAATATCCTAGTACCTGCATTCTTCCTACAAAGGAGTACATACATACCTGAAGATAAATATAAGCTTAGTATGAAACAGATCTGAGTTTCAAATGACCTACTGTTATTATAAGCATCAAAATTAATTATTTTACACACTACAACAACTTTTTTGTGTTTATTAATGGACTAAGATAATTCCCTTGTGACGAAAATCTCCTTGGCTGGAGAAGGATATTCAATGAAAGTTATCCTTCATTATTCCAACCTTGGCAAATCCCAAGATATTCACAGGAAGCCAGACCAGCATGGATACTTGGGACTCTCCTAGCACGTATGGCCCCAGGGTACTAGAAAAGATATATGCTGAGGACTGTGTTACCACCTGAAGGAATGATTCACTGGATAAGATAGGAAGAGGGTGAAAGGGGACATTCAATACAAAATGTATCTTGGGTGATCACACTTCTACTTCACCAATGCACACACCATTTTCTCCCACATTGACTCCCCAACCTTCAGAGAGGCAGATGAAGCACTGAGCAGAGAAAAAACACAGAGAGGGAAAAGAATTTTCCCTTGTGCACATAGGTCAGAGGTTTGCATGCTTAAACTGGAGCCACTGTGGACAGCCAGGTGGCTAAAGCAAGGTCATTGTGCCTATGAGCTCCTTACAATCTATACCTCAGTCAGCTCACCAGCCAGAAAGCACTCACAAATCGAGTATTTTATGCAGAAAAAAGTTCTTGGAATTTTTCAATCTGCCAAATCCAAAACACAAGAAATTCAGAGTTGAGAGGCGTCTGCAGTGTTTGGGGATTATTAAAGTGTAACCTCATGTTTCAAGACAGAAAACTTCAAATAGGAGCAGTATACTGGAATAAATCCCCCTTTTTTCACCAGGACAGAGATAAATGGGTTTAGAAACCCCCAGTTAATATGCAAGGCACCTCACAACAGGAACAACGTCTTCCTCTTTCACTGTTATACTCCGGCATGAGATAGGGCATTTACAATCCAACATAATGTACAAAAATTCTGCAAAAGTTACTGATGTTTCAGTATTTCAGATCAGATCGTGGATTGGTACATCGGTAAAAAATAGATGGTAAATGTTGGTAAGATGTTGCTTGTAACATGAAGACACATCCTGCATGGAGAGACAACTCACATAAAATAAAATAAATTACTTTTAAAAGGAAGCCTCCAGCACAAGGCTGCCATTCTTATGCTAAAAAGTGATAACTTTTTGGCAATTACTTCTGACATGGAGAGAGGGCGTATTTTGGACTCCACCGTCTATAAGCATAAGGGAAACTGTAATCAATATTACATTAGAAAGCAACAGTGCGGGTTAAATGTGTATTCAAATTCCAGAAAAATACTCAAAATCCTGAAGATACTGTCTATAAAAAAATGGAGGAAGGACAGAAACTCTGTGCTCTTTCCAGTTACTTTCAAAACTCCCAACTGGCTGATGAAATAAGACTTAAAAGCCACACATTGCAGGACAAGGAAGCTGGAAAGCTAGACAAAGCATTCCTGCAACATGTTAAGTAAACATTTTTCTGGAAGCAGAAGCAGCCCACAATAGTGCAGGCTGTTAGCAGGTTTGCTAAAGAATCATCGGTGATGTTATTGACGGAATGCATGTTTGCTTTTTTAACACCCTTCCATTTTACTAGTAAAGCAGGAGAGGACCAAGGAACTGTTCTGTAGCAAACAAACAGAGCTTTGGAAAAACTTGAGAGGAAAAATCCGCGTATAAAATGGGAATATGAAAACAAGGAAGGAATGTTAATATTTTTAAAGAAACAAACCCTGATTCTTATTGCAAAGTGCAATCTCTCTACAAACTTTATAAATATGGCTAAGGACTAGCCATACTTTATAAGCTAAGACTTTTTTATTGGAAATGGCAGTTGATAATAAGAATTACAAACCTTTTTCACTTCTTTACCCACTTACCTTCAATAAAATATCTGCTAGGGATCCTATAACATGCAAAGCTCCATCCTTTTTCCTTGGATCAATGTTTGGCTCTGTCAGAATCTGGTAGCAATATGCCATCATTTTTGGTAACACCTATGTAAGACAGAAAACACATAATCTCCTTTTGTCAAATTATTTTAATATCATTGTTTAAGTTAAAAACTTCATAATGACATTTTTAAGTAGAAACTTTATCTTGGCGAAAGCAACTGTGAGGTACTATGTGTAGCATCTTTCCATAGTTAAAAATCAAAAGGTTCCTTTTTTCAACTTTTCAGCCAAACTTGTCAAAATTAAATTAATCTCCTTGAAATTTCACATTAGCAATAGTAAATCAGGTATTTTTGTTGTTGTCTTGAAGCAAATCAAAAAAGGTGATGAAAAGGCAAGAGGCTCAAAAAGTATCTCACCCATTTTTTCCCTTAACTTCTCTTCTGGCTTCTCTCACACATATATAAATACATACATGTGTGTACATATAGGTATGAACATATACATATTGAAGAACAGCTTGGACTAAAACCTCATAAACTTATTTTAATCTATTGATCTTGGCAGTAACTTCTAAAGTTGACTAGACTTAGAAAGGTTTCTTGGCAAAACTAATTGTTTAACGTCATTTCCACACCCACTATGTGCTTTTCAGATATTATGACATTTTGATGGTCTCAGTACAAACTATGAAAATGAGGTCAGTGGGCAAGCACTGTTTCAACAATAAAGAAGTAAAAAGGTCATAGGCTATGCCACCTGACATAAAGACCATGCTCTTCTCTGAAAATCCATCCAGAAACAGAGCTCCATGTTTACTGGATGTTAAAACGGTACCCAGAAAAGTTCACAGTTTTAGCAAACTGACTTACGCTTTCCAGGCTTGACCAGGTACTTTTGCACAGATCACTCTAAGTATAGAAAGATCTACAGAAAAGTTATGTCCTCATTTAAAGAGCAGCTGTATGAAATTAGTTTCATTCTTGCTAATTTCATTGCTGTCAACAGAATTTTAAATAAAATCAGTGAAAATTAATAAGGATCAGGTTCACTTTTCCCCCTGCTACAGTTTGGGAAGCTCAGAACAGCTGTGACAGAGGCTGTTTGTAAACGTGGGAAAATACGAGTACATCTATTCCAACTCAGTTTGTATCCAGCAGGTTAATTTTGAAGCTGCAAGAGGAATCCACTTATTTATTTATTTATACATACACACTTATTTTAATTCTCCCAGAATTGAGAGCACTCAGCCAGGAAAGTGTTTGACTATGTATTAGCAAGTAGATTTTTCAAGACTAGCTTCCTGTAGCATCTTCAAATTTAAGGGAAAATACATTATTAAGGAAACCTCAAATAATTAAAACCCATTAGTTCCATACCTCTCTTCTCTTCTTCGCAGCAGTATAAAGGAGATTCTGTGCTGCTGTTGTAGTGGATGCATAATCCTCAAATACATCTAACAAATTAAAAAAAAAAAAAAAAAAAAAGGAAAAAAACCACAAAATTTCCTTTTCAGAATGACATAAGATTTTTATAATCCATCTTGTTTGTGGGATATCACAAAACCAGGGTAAATACGTAACTTCAAAACTACTGACACATGGCTAAAGAGTCAGACCCAAGCTTATGTCAAATAGCTTATGAAAGCATTTACTTCTTGCCTTCCAAATCTACTGACCACTTATCATTCCCTTTATTAGGAATGCGTTATTTATTCATTAATTCTTTTGAGACCAAGTATTTAAGGGATGAAAAACCCTGGCTTTTTTTTTTAATTAAAACCACTATAGGAAGAACAACAATACATTCCAGAACCATCTGTAAACCATATGTACACATTTTTGGTTTGATTTTATTAAAACCTCATGGGAAACTTTTTGTATGTAAAAACTACTTGGATCTGGGGTAGTTTTAAATCTGCTGAAAGTTGAAGCTTTTTAGCTTCATTCATTAAAAGTAAACCTTTAATCATATTGAAAATATAATTTATATCTTAGGAAAAAAAAAAAAAATCTGTGCTGCCAAACATGTTCTAATCCAAACATCCCTACACAAATTGAATGAAATAAAAAGATAAAAAAAGGTAATCTTAAAATGTGGTTAAAATTTCACACTAACTTTTCCTCAGAACTTGAAGATAAAACAGGATTAAGAAATACTATCAGACTACTGGAATTCTTGTTCCAAACCCAAATATGTCTCACTAAACTCCAATTTAATGTACTTTCATGCTTGTTTTTTTTTTACCTTCCACAATAAAATTTAAATCTGTATTTAACTGTCTCAGCTATATATAAAAATAGGGTTCACTACTTACACAGAAAGAACTGAATTCATATACCAAAAATCAGGAATGTATTTGTACCCCAGTGATCCACACTATATTGTGATTAATTTTTTGGATAACAACTCTCCAAGTTTCTTTAATTATTCCATGAACGTTTACATTCTGTTTTCACATATGCTAATCCCAAATCAACTAATTAAAAATTCCCAAACACTACATATGTCTGTGACACCTGGCTTACAGGAGCTTTCCAGCTAAAATTCCTATATTTTTCAAGTATCCTTCTCTTTTTCAATGACATGACTCTTTTAATAAATGTAATTATTCATAATATGGTCCTATGTGATATTCCCAAGATTCTGCACTGTGTCTTTTGAAAGAATACATGTATCTAATTATCTTACAATTTAGTAACAATAATTGGCAAAAAAATGCTGAAGACATTAACAATTTTCAGTTGGGAAAGAGCAAGTCAGGCCTCTTGTGGTCAAAGCAAGAGCTGCAAGAACTTGCAGACAGCTGGCACATCTGCAGTTCAGGATTCTGAAATTGGCATTAAAAAGTAAGCAAGCCAGTCTATTTGGGCTGCACTGAGCATGTGAAGTAGAAAAAAAATGTTAAGAGAATCATTTAGTTTAAAGCTATCAGACAAACGGCCAAAACCCACTTGATCTACCTTCTTTTAACTACAAATTGGTGAGACTTAAGAAACAAATTTTCTTCTTCGTATTGTTCAGGACACTGGTGAAGACAGAGACATTACAGTGGCCATACTGTTAACTATAGTGTACAGTTATGATGAAAGCAAAAAATAAATGCTAAATACAAATATTTACCAAATTTCATGCGGATATATTCATATGGATCCTCTTGCCAGAGCTCTTCATCCTCATCTTTGTAGCACATTAGAGAGAATATCACTTCTTCTGTTATACTCTAATATTAGACAAGTCAAATAAACATAAGTGCACCTAAAATCAAATTCCAGTACTCCTTCCCTCCACTATGCACTAATATACTAGACCTACTTTTCTGAAGAGTAAGACTCTTTTAACCAGTGCTCTTTTATTTTGGCTAACAGAAATAAATTACAATATACATACTTTCCTTTTGCAACAGTCCCAGACAGCAGTAACTATATAATCTAACTTTATAGTAATACATTACCATACACAAAATATACTTCAGGACACAGTCTATAAACAGCAGAACACCACATTCTGCAGAAGGATCTCACTAATGCAACACTTAACATGAGAATGGATTTCAGAGTCTTTGCTCTTAACAGTCATGGGATTAACTAACTACAACAGGGGAGCTTATGATACAAAAAAATAAAAGCATGAAAATCACTTTTCACTTGTTCTTAGTTGACTTATAAAACACGTCCTTAAAACAGAGTTCAGCTCCTCATAGTTTATGTTCTCTTTGCCCACTATCTTTGCACTACAATCAATTATGAATTTGCAAATCTATAGACAATTCTGAACACTAGCAACTAATAAAAGCCAGAACATTATGACTGTCTGGCAGACTTCAAAAATAAAAATAAAGAACTTATGGAACAGAATCTTTAATTGAGTTAACAATATCTGCAATAAAAGGTAGTCATAATACTGAAAAAAACAACCACATTTGTGTAGCAATGCTATTTTTTGCCCACATCAATTGCTGCATGAAAGATTCATGAAACCTTCTTTAAAAACAGCAAAACTGATGGGGTTTGGGGTGGTTTTTTTAATCCCTGTGATGACATGCAGTGTTTATGACTGGGTTTTATGCACTGACCTGTATGTGTGGCTTCATTTGTTTCCATGTTACAGAGTGAATAACCCCTTGGTTCAGATAATTTAATGTTTGCTGAAGAACACGTGGCGCAACATAGTCTTTTTGCCTGTATTGGTCTAAGATTCTTAAGAGAACCTAAAGAAATGACAAATTGATATTTTTAAATGAAGACTGAAAATTCTCCCTCATGCGTAGACGTGCAGTGCACCTCTTTAGTGAATATATATGGACAGATTAATTAGTTTTACAGCAGACATTCTACTGTTAGTAATCACTGTAATGCCTTTGATCCAAAAATCAGAAATCATTTAAATATCAAGAATCTAATCCTGCAGCATTTATGTACATGTCTACCTTTACTACTAGCCCCACCATGTGATCACTTGTGATTGTAAAGCTTAGATATACTTCAATATTCACAGGCTCACAGTTTACACAGGCCTCGGCAAAACTTGGAACAGATAAGGAAAAGGCACAGTCAGATTTTCCAGCTGGTGGGCTTCTAAATCTGTTAGTGGTGTCTGTGTTCATTTTTTAAGGACAGGCCCCTAAAGAAGACAAATTGCTTTGGAAGAACAGTGATAAGAATAGAAATGCTAAACTAGAAAAGAAAAATAGGTTACCACCTAAATCTGTGAATCAGAAGAGACGCAAAACCCTTAACTTCAATTACCTGTTGTAACCATCAGATAGCATCACCTAGCATGCTATCACAAACTCTATCGCACAAAGCTTCCTTAATACAAAGCCTTGCTCTACGAAGAAAAACCTACAGTACAAAGCCACTAATCTGCACTAATGGCAGATGAACTTTAACTGTTAATAAGTGTAAAGAATTGGCATGTACATGAATAACAATAAGAATCAAGGGCAATGCATAACAAAATAGAGTCATGTATTTTCAGAAGGACAATTCTGCTTCATAATTCTTCACAACATTATGATAAATCTTATTTTAAACATAACTCCTTAATTAGGAGTACTAAGTCTGATCTTAAGTCTTTAATACAATACGCTCCTTGGGTAAGAACTGTCTGTATCTCATATAGACTCTAGCACAATGTCAGCACTTAACAACTGATGAATAAGTGATGAAGGCTTAGTAATGTAATATTCACAATAGAATTCTTACTAACTCTGCAAGGAGACGTGACAAATCAGCATTTAAGAACCAGAAATGGAAGAAATGTGAAGATTGTGCAGTCCATTTATCTTGAAAGCTAAACTGTTGCCTCTGCTACATACCCTAATCTGTTAACAGACAAACTTCAAGTATTTTAAATGACAACTGCCCATGGGAGTCTATTTTTCCACTCAGGAGTTAAACATTGCAAGGAGTTTAGAATATATATTAGACTGTTTCCCTTTTCATTTAATGCTTACAGCCTTACCACAACCATTCCTCTCCTTAGTTCATAACATTTACATACTTACACAGAATTAATATGCTGATGGATAAACTATTCTGTTGTCAGATGGAGAAAAGTCACTGGATGGAGAAAAGTAATTTTGTTTTGCAGACAATCCTGGCATTTTGAAATCTAGGTCAAATTTGACTTGAAGTGACAAAGACAGTGGAAATTTAAACTGTGAGAAGCCTGCAGATGCCATGTCAGGGATGGGATATTTCATCCGGCAGCATGCTGAGGAGCCACATATTCTGGATATACATATTATACAAATGCTTGTCACTTGAAAAACAGCATTCCCAGGTGTTTTTCAAGGTTTACAGGCCAAAAGGAATGAAGAGCCCAGGATCATGAGCAAGACAGTGTACTGCATTCTCCTGGCTTCTTAGGAGCCTGTTTGGAATGTAACCCAAAAGCCTGGACAGACCCAAGAGCTTTAGCTGAGCCAAAAGCCTGGGAACTACCACTCCTAGTCATCTAGTATATGGCAGGCTAAATGAGAAACAGGAGCAGCTGTGCCAAAAACATCCAAGCCTGGGAGCCAGCACTCTCAGGGCTTTCTGGCACCCCGTTGCTATAGCCATTCCACCAAACCAGGGAGATGCTGGAAGTCTGGAAACCCACATTCCCAGGGGCATACAGTTGAGCTCGCAGAAAAACACAGAAAACTCTGACAGGAATTGCCTCTCTTCTATGCAACTTTATCAGAACTGAACTGTCTCCACAACACCATGTTAATCACAAATAAATAGCATTCCACAACAAAAATAATTTCCTTGCAAACTGTGAATTTATGCTATATTTTCATAAAATATGCTTTCCAGGTATAAAATAACTGTTACTGCTGTTCTCTAGACACCTTCTAATTCGCTTGTATCTTTCTGAAATAAAACAGTATCGTTGGCTTACTGTGCCTAAGTTGTTTGCAGCAAAAGCACTTACTAAAAACTGGCCTGAAAATATACCCTTCTATGACATGAGGCCTCTGCATCAACAGTTTTTTCTCTCAGCTATATCTAGAACGTTTACACATGATGGTAATATTGTTTTATCAGCACTAACCTCTTCTGGAAATTTTCCTGCAGGATTTTTTGAATTACTGAAAATTTGTGTTATTATACCTCAGTTGTATGCCACTGAGTCCTAAAGAACTTCACAATCACTAAAAGGAAAACCTGTCTGACTCTGTTCACTTTTGGTTAATGAATGAACTTCGATATGAAGCAATACATTTTTTCAGCCAAAATGATCTAATTCAGAAACAAATGAACAGTACTTGCCTGTTGTATGCCCACAGCATAGGTTTTTAAAAAAAAGTCTGAGAATTCAAAGTATTCTTTAGTTACGTTTCCAGGACTTCCATACCTGTAAAAAAAAGAGGACACAGATATTTACATTGTAAGAAATCGACTGTGTCAGGAAAACACAGTACTTTCTAAAACACAAGGACCCTGAGTAGTCTTCCATCCCCAAAGGAATCTTTTCCCACAGTTTCCTTCTAAGCCATTATTCCCCGTATAATGCCCCACTTCCCTTTTCTTTTCTTAGATTATCATAAGGTACAGTACTACAGTCAAGTAAATATAGCCGCCTTTTTGTCACAAGCACTGTAACTTCCATGTTTATGGATTTCTTTTCAAATCTTGCCCTGCCTTTATATTTGAGAATATAAGCACTTGTAGCTGGATGTAGTAATAAAAAAATAAATAAGTACTTTTCCTGTGGGGCTAGTTTCTTGCCACTTAGAGAATCAAATCATTTCACTAAGAGCTCAGACCAGTGGCTGTGCCAGTGCAAGGCAGAGGGCAGCAGCAGGAAAACCTCTTCAGTGACCATGAGCTGTTCAATCCACTTGTCTAATCGCATCTCGAGTAACGTTACAGATTTGTACCCCAAATTTAGTTTTTAATCTGTTTGTTGTTACCGTTCAAAAAGACGAGCTACAATATGCAATGCCCACTTCTTGCATTTCCACCACACCAGCTCGGGTCTATCATCTTCATCAATTTGCAAAGTCTCCTATAAATAAATACATTTATTTTAAATTGGCTGTGTGTACTGTTGAAAGAAATGATGCTTTAAACATTCCTTGCTGAGTAAACTAATACAAATGCACAAAATTGACTAAAGCTTTGGTTTTGTTAACAGTTACATAACATTCAGGAACTTCCAGATATCTTAATTAGTCAATATAACTGTACGTGTGCAATACCTGTACAATGCCTGTACTTTAAATTGCAAAATTATGCATATTTAAAAAACAGAAACTCTCACATATACTTGAATACTACACAGTAATGTGCACTCTGGCTTAAAAATTAAGCATGACACTAACTCTTCCAAATATATACACCCTGACCTTATACTAATGCAAAAGCTATTAAAAGAATGTTAAGGTTGTGAAATAAATTTCTAAAAAACTTAGGAAATGCCAGTTAATGTTGCACACATAAACAAGAATTTAATCACTATTTTTAATTTGTTCTTCAAGAAATATGAAGGATGGATGAAAGAAAAAGAGGAATGGAGACAAATGATGGGTTTGTGATGAGTTTTTGATTCTTGTTCAAGAGAAATTGGCTAAAATATTTGGAAACTTCCAAAATATCCAGATTGGAGTTTACATGGTGTAACTACCTCAGACAATGAAATTCTGACAGCTTACATGATCTTCCTGCATTTCTGTCAGAAACACCACTTATTCCAAGGATAAGAATCTTAATTAGATGACATCTTAAAAAAAGAACACTTAGAAAATCTTCACACTGACTTTTCCTCAAATGCCAACACACAAATAACAGAGGTCTTTACAAAACTAAAACTTACCGGAGGTACATTTCTATCAATGATAGTACGGAAGATCTCCATCCACTGAGTCATAGTCTGGTTATTCACCAACTGGAGCGGCAATGCATACTGAAATAAGAAAAAAACCCATAGTCATGAAATACTGATTTTCTCTGAAAGTGGTAGATGTTTCTACAGCAGTTAAAACCTCATCCTCCTCAGAATGTAAGTAAAAGTAAAACTAATTAGGTTAGATATCTATACTACTCTAATTGCATCCTTCTTGATACAATTTACAGAGGAATTTCTGAGCAGACACTATGTGAGGAACGTTCCTTGATCTGAGAACTTGCTAACTCTCTTTGTTTCTTCCTCTTCTTCACAATAGCCCAACTAACTTTTAGAGACCACAGTAATGTCTGTATTACAGGGTTTGGGTAAACCAATAGCATTTTAGTAAGTGAAATGTACTCCTAATTACTACCTAGCTATTATCTAGTAAATCTTACTTCTCTACAAAATCCAAAGCAAAGTGACAATATTCAGGCAACCTATTGAAAAGTAATATAGGATCTTGGGATCTTTTTAATCCTCCCCCCATCTAATAACAAACTATTTTAGCTTTTTAACCCCCAGTAAGAATTTTCAGGCTGCTCCTTATGTAGGATCTTGTTTCTCATTCTCTAAAAGTACTTCCTCACCAAACTCATCCCTGTAAAAGCCAAACTCATCTCTGTAAAATTCATGTGCCTCAATAAGTAATTTCTGCCAGATCTTCAGAAGATAATGATAAATGCCACCTACTGAAGTGCACTATTTGACAGTTATACTACCATATTCACTACTGACACTTTCAGAGGCCAACTAGCACAATCTAGATACCCATAGAGTTTATATCAAGTTATGTGTGACTTATAAAAACAGGAACATTTCTCCAGTAAGCTTACAGATAGGATGTGCAAAAGTACCTAGTTCATTAAAAATTTAATCTGGGGGATCATATGACCAGTTTTTAAGTAGAAAAACCTATAAAGATCATATTTTTGTAAAAGCTGTTTATTGTACATGACTTTTTCCTATCCAAATTGGTATTCTTATTCAATCACACCCATGAGTGTACTGAAGGGGGTTGTTGTGCCCAGCAAAGTAAAAGTTTTGGTTTTCCTCTACACAGATGCCAACCTGAACAAGAGCATAGAAGATTTTTAAGATTTGTTTCTGAAGCAGTACAGAGTAATGGGAGTTATCAGGCAGAAGCTGGATCATCTGCTGCTGAATCCGAGGCAAAAATATTTGCATTGCTGCTATGAGAGGATCTCGTTCCTCTGCTTTTTTGTATCTGCAAAGGAAACAAAAATGTTGGTCCAGGATCTACACACTGGAGATTCTAATGCCTATTCCCCACCAACAGTTTAATTTCTGTACCCTAAAAAAAAAATAAACTAATATCCAGCACTCACTCATTCACTCTCCCCTCCTCTAGCCCCCATCTCAACAATTTGTGTAAATTCGCTAACCTATAAATAGAGAAATGAAAAACAACAAATGTTACCTTATATAAATGCAGCTATTGGGAGGAAGAACTAATGTTCTTTACTACTGAACTGTCAGCTCACAGGAGCAAGGACTTGAATTTCTCTGACGTTCGTACCAATGCCAAACCCAAGTTGGGTGCTGAACAAATAGGAGTGAACAGCCATTGAAAGGGAAAGACAATTCCTTAGTTTGGAAAAGATTCTCTCTTTTTCCATTTACATTTCTTTCGTGCGGTTTATACAAATGTTTCTAACAACAGATAATTTTTTAAAAAAACATTAGTTGGAGAGCTCACTACACCTCTCCTAATTTACGCTTTGTGGATTTAGACTATCAGGAGGATGGTACAGGTAACAATATGCAATAGGAGTATATGACAATGACAGTAATGTATTCATGACATAAAAGTAGAAAATAATTTGCATTCATATATCCAGCATTTGGGGAATCTTCAAATAAAAGAAGTTATAAACATTTAAGAAATTTTTCACAGATGGGTTAAATCAGATCAAAAGTGTAAAGCCTCAAGAAAAAAAATGTCAGTAAATTCATACAGATTATTGCTGGCATCTCTGCTTTCAATTCCCTGCTGATATAAAGATGATGAATAGTTTTCATTTATTTGCAGTAAAGGAAGCATATGACAATTATAAATTCCCATTTTCTATCTGAATTCCTTGTAGAACTTTCAGTGCTCTTAAGAACGTCATTCTCAGTAATCAGCTGAGACTGAAAGTACTGATTCTTCATCTACTGATGGACATCAACTTACTCATAAGTCTTCACCAGCTGATAGAGGCACAGGAGGCTCCCGAGCCAACTCCCACTGTTCTGAGACTGCAAGTAGTAGCCTATCTTGTCCACCACGGCTGTCCAATGGCCAGGAAAGTCATGTTTAATGATAGCACGGAGGCACATTGTCAGCTGGGCTCTAAGGCAGGAGGGAAAAAGAAACACATTATAAGTAAATAAGATCATGGCATAGTGTTTAATATTGAATGATAGATCTCAAATCTTGGTTTATTGGCCACAATATATATATTACATCATAAGTATCATACATATTACGACAGCACTGAAAGAGTTCTGGGAAGTGGCAGAGGAAAAGCAAGAAAAAAATCCCAGGGGATTTAACTTTAAGGAAGAAAATGATTTCAGAACATTTTAGCTACTTTTCTCCCTTCCTCCTCCCTCTCCACACCCATGAGGCAATATCTGAAAACAATTAATTGCTCATGAAACCAGCTAGCTTTGTACTTTGAAGATGAATGTTTATACTTCTATGCACTTAAGAAGCTGAAAGCAACCACAAAAACACAAATTTGTACATTTTTATTAAACAATATTGGCCTGTGTTATGATCCAAGCCAGAGGTTCCTCATGAAATTACAATTTTCCTGCGATCCGCTAGAACAGCACTTTCTCAACCTCCGAGGCATATGGCAGAGCCAATTAGGTAAAAACATCTTATCATTCCTCTCCCTCCACACACTTTTAGATGCCACTCACAACAGTGAGGCAAGACAGGATTGTTAGTTGACTAAAGTGAGGTGTGATTAAAAAAGCTGAGCAGCACTGAAATAGAAGCTGTAAAAAAATACTCTTGGTTCCACTAAGGAATAATGAAAAAAAAAAAAAATGTCTGCACAAAATATTAGTTCTTCTATATTTAGTTTTCCTTGGGTACCCTCTTGCAGTCCATTACATAAGGAGCCACTATTACAAAGTAGTTCAGTAAGGGGCCCTCCACCTACTGATCCTTTTAGCTTTGTACAAACCTGCCGTCCCCCTCAAGCTTTTGGAGTTGGTGCTTGTTGCTGAGTTGGTTCCTCCTCCCACTTTGTTCTCACAAGCGAACAGTGCAAAATATCAGTATTACAACATCAGACTAGTTCCAGTAAAGCTTCTTTGACTTTTTTAACCTCTGACAAATCTACAAGTTTAGCCAGTATTTAGAAACTCTGCACTTTATTCCAAGTGATTGTCCTGGGTCTTCAACAATCCTTTTAGATGTAGATTGTCATTGTAATTTTGAATATCAGGTTATGAAACGATGCCTGAACTAGTTTGCAAAACACTCTTCAAACTTCCATTACTTTGTGTTCTTTTGTATAAACTTAGCCTTGGTATTTATGACATGATGGCAGGGGAAACTACATGCCTTTATCACAGAAAGAACACAGGCTTCCTTACCTTGTAGCACAACCTTGGCAAGGAGAACCTATCTCTTTCAGTGGAGATACTAATCATCTGCATCAGAGCGTGTTAGAAAAGCTGAACTGGAAACGATGACTTCGTTCTTTTTCTTGTCTCAGTACAGGACCATTTATACCCTAAGCATTTCTGGCAGGTGTTTGTCTAATCTATTCATAAAGACCTCCAGTGACAGCAATGCCATAGCAGTCTAATGCATTCTGGTGTTTCATTTTTTTTTAAAAGTGTTTTCTCTAATCCCAATTTCAATCTGTAGTCAATCACTCCTCTTCTGGATATGACTACTGACAAAAAGACATCTTTGGGCACCTAGCTGGTGGAGAGGAGCAGGAGAGAAGAGGAAGATTTTCCTCTGGTTTTCAAAGATGAACATCTATACACTACAGCCTAATACCATCCTATCAGCCTCACTTTAATTAGAGTGGTGAACAACCATACATTGTAGTACATCTGTGAATCTTAACTACTCTTCCAGCAAAAAGAAAATAGCATTTCTTCACTCTTTTAACATCTTAAAACCAAGAATGCCAATACACATTTAAATACTGGGCTTACATATAAAAATTGCAAAAGTTACTGAGAAAAGGGCTACTAGGAAAAAGAAAATAGACTTTGGGCAGTATTTCTCTGAATGGTTAATTCTGTATTGCAGAGGGCCCTCTACACTATCTGCCCTGAATCAGCCAAATAGACAGGCTGTCACTACAGTGAGTGGTATAAGACACTTTAAACATCACAGGGCTCTTAGCCGGGTTACTACATTTTTGAAAAACAAGTGCACATAAATATGTTAAAATTTATTATTATTACATTTTCAAAACAAGTACTTGCTTCATCTCCCCAGAAACTGAGATTCTCACACTAACTACATCCAGACTGGTAGGTCTGAAAACTTGAGCTACAGAAATACCTCTACACAATGTAAAGTACCTCACTAAGTCAGGAGAACGAATTATTCCTTCTACAATGTTATCACGAATCTGCTGACGATCATTTTCATGAATGTTGAATGGAAATACTGCTTCTCCAGGAGGTGGTTCACGGTCCGGCCAGTACTGTGTCACCATGTTCTTCAGGTAAATGGCAGCTAAGTATAAACATTGGGGAAATAATAATTTAATGCTAACACATCTCCACATTACTCTGTGCTCAACATGTGAGTATAGTTGAAAGTAGAACAAAGAGTTGAAAAGACAACTGAAAACCACTGCATGAGTTCTTAACAATTATAGGCACTAAGCATAGCTGAGTCAGAAAACCATTTTTTTAATGATTCCACACAAAAATCAGGCTCAGCTGCCTGGTCCTAAACAGAATAGGATAGTACTTCAGTCAGCTTCTATTGGGGCACATTCTTTATTACAGCAGTCTTCCATATGGACATAATATTCCATCGTTGTAAACAAGCAAACAAAAATCTACTAATCTGCACTTTTACTGATCCCTAAAACAACTACTCAAACTCAGTAAGTGAAGTTTTGGAAGGCTCATGTAAACAAATCATTGCACCCACAATGCTTGGGACACTCTGCTTGGGGAAATGGCCAGTATGAAACTGGCACGGGGCCTACTTTCTATTCAGACAGAAATGTTTGTTGTGAATTCCCTAAGCTTTATCTCACTATTAGGATTTCCCATAATCCCTTAGAATTGTTCCCTTCTGTCTCACATGAAAAACCATGAAAAATAAAGTTAATCTTCAGCTGAAAACAAAGCAGCATTTATGCCTCAGTACTGAAATGCCTGTAGGCATTCTTTAGGAAACATAGGAAATATGGTGTAAGACATTAAAGGAATGTTCTTAATAAACTCTTATCCACGTACTATTTCAGTTGATGACTAGATAGAGTTTTAAAGCATAAATAAGATATCCTTGGGTACAATCATTTTTCTTGGTGATGACAAATTACGAAGTATGAAAACATGTAGTTTGTAAAATATTTTATAGGAGCAAGAGGAAAAAGAGTTTATTGTCTATGACATGCCAGAATATTCAGACAAGAAACAGGTCCAGAAAGACCAGCCCAAGACTTTAATTTACTTCGTCCACAGATCTTGTTGTTATTCAAATTCTTGGCTTTTAAAAAATTCCCAGGGAAATATGTTGACTTACAAATGTAACTTAAATGTGCTTTTCTATTTTATAGCCCTACTCTGTAAAAATATTTAAAAATTAAACAAAAATTTTAAAAATTATGCTCTACATACTTGGTTTTTTCCCTGAATGATACTGAAATGAGAGATTAATTTATACAAATGACCTTATGGAGTCCAGATTAAGCATCAAACTTCACTACAGAATGGTTTAACAATGCATTCAAAGTTGGATTATCTTTGAAAAAATAAATGCCAGCATGACAAACAGCATATGTCAGCATGCCCCAAGGCACTCAGGGGATTAATAGGATCTGTATAAAAAAACCAAAAGTGCTTCTACGGGAAATGCTGTTCCATAGGATAAAATCAGAGCTGTGGATGAAACAGTATTCATCAATTTCTTGAAAAAGCTGAATATTTTCTGTATCTGTCAAAAATATTGTATAGGAGTAGTTAAAATAGATTATGAGAATTTAGAATCTGATCTTACACAAATATACACTCAAAAGTTAACTGCATCACCACACTTGAACTCACACACACAGCTGGGCAATCTTTCTAGACATGCTCAGACTATAAATTTATAATTTATCAGTGATGTGACCCTCCTTCATATCTACTTTTGTGAGCAGACACCATAGATACTGACTAAGCATATGTGACTACCCTTGACGTAGGGAAATATGGGGTGTTTTTTTCATTCTTCAGAAACTTACATTTTTTCCAGGAAATGGGATTCAAATACAGAAATGTGCATTCAAATGAGATCCACTTTCTTCTAAATTCCCATTTGTCTTGGCATCACTACTTCTTCACCACCAGGAGAAAGAATACCTAAGGCTCCCTGGGTACTCAGTTTTGAGGAGAAATCATTCTCTTTTCATATCAGTATCACAGCAATCCAGTAGGGATCACTACAAACACAGGGAAGCCAAAGCAGGACTCCACCTTATACCCATTGTTTTATCTGACCCTCATGCAGGAAAGAAACGGCAAAGATAGATCCTCTTCATTTCCACATTCAGGACAAACTTGAACTTACTTACACTGCAACAGCTCAATACTCTGTTGAAATAACTAACAGACTGACTTTCTACTGAAAGAAAATGAAACAAGAAATTTATCTCACCTGCTTGACGCACTGGAAATTCAACTTGATCTGATACTATGATTTGCAGTAGACTTGGAGCAAAATTGATGATCTTATATGACTGAAATACATATAAAACACAGTTAGCAAATCACTATGTTTAAAGAAGACTGTATTACCAAAAGCTGAATAAGAAACTCAAACTAAGGACTTTGCAGTGTTCTTATGAAGTATGAAAGGTTTTAGCACTTGGATTTACCCAGATCTGCAGCAATCCAAATAATTACTTGTAAAAGCTGAGCGTATAACAGCACATGGGTGGCATAAGTAATGTGACAAGGCTCTCTATTAGAGATTAGTGATAATGAATATTTAAATAATTCTGAGAATGCATAATGAGAAGCACTACAGATCTGTCTTTGAATTATTTAACTAGCCTCATAAATCAAATGAATATTGACACGCTTCATCAATACATACCATTTATTTGCAAAATAGATTGTGGTATAACAGCAATACTGAATTTTGAAGAGATTAAGAGAACCATTTAAAATTATTTTCAAGTGTAAACAGCATCTGCCTTAGCCATATATTTATACAGCTACCTTTTAACGAACTACATGTATAGTGCATCTTAACAGAAAAATAAAAACCAGGGAAACACAGTGGAATAACCATCTTTAATTAAAATCAAGTGTAGACAAATAACATTTCAAAACCCACAGCCTTCCTCGGAACTTTTCAAACACTACATCAGCCATGCAGCTGAAGAATTTCAAAGAGAAAACAATGCTCACTGAACTTCTGAGCAAAGCACGCCAGATTTAAAAGATGTGAAAATCTGATAGCATTATGCTGCTGTCATTCAACAGGGGTCCTCCAATGTGAAGAATCGTTGACTCAGCGTGGTGCAGTTACTGCTAAGCCTTGGCAGCGTCAGTAGTTACTAGTAGGTCAGATCTTTCATCACCTAGATCCATGTGCTTTATGTTCAAAGAGAGATGTTTCTTGGGGCTAGATGGCATAAGTTTTCTTTATTTCACCTTTTATAGTATTTCTTTCCAACCAGATTATGCCTGGCAGCTCTGTGGTTGCGTTCAGAGCTGTGCTTCAAGTACAAGTATACTACATCATCCCATAAACTTTGCCTCATTCTAAAGCTGTGAAATAAGCGGTACATTCTACTCTTCATGTACCCAGTTCCTTGAGCTAACATTTCCGTAATGAGGTAAAATTACATTGCTTTCATGATGCCTAAGTGTAACAGCTGCATCACAACACTATCATTCAATAATTTTACCAAATCACTTAACTTTCTGACCCTCATTTTACTCATTATAATGATAGTGTATTTCTAACCTACTCTATGCTCAGAGACTCATTTGATGTTTACAGAGTAATCTGAGATCTCAGATAAAAGCAGTAATGGCAAATCAAAAGCATACTCTCCTGCAATTCCCTTCTCTATAAACTTTAATTATCTGTAAGAAATGCTCCAAATAGAGTAAAAGCTGTAACAGACAGCACAGGAACTCCATTTATCTACAGACATGCTGAAATACCAGCTTTCAACATCAACTGGTTGAAGCATACTGGATTCCAAAGATCACCTTTTAATCAAGTATCCTGGAGCCCAAAGCTTGCCCTTCAGCCCCTATTGGACAGAATCTGTACAGCGTTGGTGTGTTCTTATGGGGGCTGCAGTAGGCTGCAGCATCCGCCAGCACTCAGCACCCAACGCCGAGGGAGATAGGGAAAGCATAAGGAATCCCAGCAGCACAGAAAACCAAAAATGCGTGCAAACTCCAATTGTCTTTTTTCTTCTAAACAGTGCCAATATGCTGTTCTCAGACCCAATCTACACACAGCTTTTACTACTATAAACACACTGATTAAGAATGCAACCTTTTGGGGGCTTGTTTTGTTGTTGTTGTTTTCCTGCAGTAATCCTACCAGTATCACATTTAGGGTGGACACAGTGATAACAGTATAAATTATTTCCTTTTCTCTGTGCAAACAGCTTTTACTGAATCTACATGAAAGTCACTGCTACTCCAGGAAGCCTTATTGGTACCACTTGTGCTGGCATACAACTGCTATCCCTGAAGTTTTGCCAGGATACATACAAATACGGTTATTTGGCCTGCACAGCAAATCCTCTCAGCAAGTGCCTGGAGTGACAAAAGACGTGTTACGCAGAAGGTACGTGCAGTGTCTCAGAGGGGGCCCCATCCCTACCAGCACACTGCTATGAGGGTTTCTTTACACTTTACATAATGACACCTCTAAAGAGATCTCAGGGACACAGTATCGAGCTCCCACTAAATCCTTCTACTCCATACTATTGTCATTACCATAATTCACATTTTTACATAGCTTTGTTTTCTACTCATTATCAGAAACATGAACACTGTAAAGATCAACAGAGATTGTGTGCCCGTTTTAGAAACAAGACACCCGATTCTGTTGTATTTGTGAGGCTCAAATACTATCCTGTTCACTTGTGCAGCAACAAACCCGGTCAGGAAAACTACACGCCGCTTGCAATTTTTAGAACAGAGGACTTTTTAAAAAGCTGCACGCAGCAACATTTTTTCCTATACCAGCACATTCTCGTTGGTTTAGCTGTCATGCTAATTGTGATCTTGGGATGTATCCTTTCCCTGCCTTGCTCAGGAAACCATACAACAGGCTCCTGAACACCACCAAGTAAAGCTGTACATATCACACCAGCAGGTGCAGAGCAATTGTCAGGTGTGCCCCGTGTAAATGGAAAGAGACAAGAAAGAGACCTCAGAGATGGATGAGGTCAGCAAGACAGTTATTTTTGTTTTTATAGCTGCACCCAAACTTTTACAAAGGGAGAGCAGGAATATCCTCAGTCTCACAGAAGGAATGGAAAGCTATCTGCTGATTTTGAAGAGTCGTGCCCAGGAGCCGCAGGGAGGCACCAGATGGCTGAAAAAGACCTTCGGCGCAGCTCCCGTAACACAGCACGCTGCTTTGTGCAGTTGGTGAATAATTACATTGCCTTGAATTCACATTGTTGTGATCTGGTAAAACTTTCTATGAAGGTGCTGATCAATGTGAGTGTATGTTTGTATTGAAGGAGAAAGTAAAGGGTTTTGAAAAATAAACTTTCACTAAGTACTTACAAAGAATATTTTAAAGCTGTGTAAAACACATACTGACTGCTCTTGCATGGATCACGGATCAGAGCGTTTATGCTTAAAAAAAAACCCCTCATTTAATTGCCATTAGGATTAAGAGGATGGGATACAGCAGTGTGCAAGGCTAGCAGCTAAACTAGGAGAGGCATACAGCACTGGTAAGATACAATTAGGTAAATTTACAGCAATGGAGAAGAGATGCGTATGTCCCCCTGCATCTTGTTCCATCTGTGTCCAGTGTCTCAGGATCTGTGCACTGCACTTGTACAGCTTTCTGCACTGTGTCCTTTCACCTTTGGCCTAACATGTATTCTTCCCTGCCTTGGCATCACAGCTCCAGCCTTCAAAAGATGAGAGAATACATCATTTTTTGCCTATTTCCTCTTCCATTTGATTAGGTATAAAACCGATGACACCCAAGAAAGCCTCAGATAGGCCACTGAAAAACAGCAAGATGAACACCGTCACATGTAAAGGACTAGAATGCGAGGAGATGTAAGCAGGAAAAATATATAAAAATTTTCCCAAATGGATCCTACTGAAGCAAATACTTTTCACATCTGACATTCAGATTTGGGTCCCAGGTTATCATGCATTATATACTACTAACTTCATTTCAACGAGCATTATTCTTGTGTCTTGCTTGCTGTCGCGTTTAAAGCCCACAGCAAGCGACTGCTCCATAATCACATCTGTCAGTAACCTTCTCACTACACTGATGGCAACCACAGTGGCTGAGTGCAGAACGGCACTGGAAGGTGCTTCTTCCCCTGCAGAACAGCAGGACAATCTAGGACAATGGATATGGAAAACTGGAGCCTTCCCTCAGGTTCTGCAAGCGAAGCCAAGACCATCCTTCTCCACCAGCAGTAAACATCTTTCTCTGTACCTCTGAATCCAACTACTGCACATAAAAATTGCTGAAAAATCAAGGCACTACATCTTTGTTTGCAAAGACAAAGATACAGAAGAAATTTGTACCTTGAATACATATGCAATTAACTGTTGACAAAGATTATTTTAAGGCTTACGTACATTTGACCTGGATGCTCAACTACCCAGTTTACTAAGGTTTATTTTCTGTTTCCTGTGCATTGAAAATGTGTTACTTAGAAATTCCATCAGTATTTGTCACACTCAGGAATATTTTTGCAGTTGTTAATAGTATTTTCTCCCTTGTTTTTTCACACTGTCAGTCACAGACAGTTGTTAAAACAAGCCAGAACTTCAAAAGACACTTTCTTCTTTCCCTGTCTACATGCAAAGGTATTGTTTGGGGAGGGGAAAACACACAGTGTTTTCATACACAGTGAAAATAAGCATATGTAAGAACCTACCTGAGCTTCTTTCCCCTGTGGGTTCTGCTGCCCAATTCATCCAGTCTCAAACTCCACTTTCCACAGAACTTCTAATCATGCAAGTCAACCTCTTCATCAAATTGGTCTTCAAAACAAATACCTGAGATTCATTCCACTAGTTAACAACACGTGCCTATTGTCATTTTCAGAGTGGCCTTAAGATCCCTGCCTACTATGGCAGCCAGCTCAAAGACATGGGGATATGGAAGGAAGACCAACTTTATTCCAGAGTCTTCTGCTTTCGGGCAACCTTCTCACTGTTCTTTCTCTTCTTCCAGCACTGCTACTCAGTGCCCATCAAAGCCAAATTCTGAAACTCTGTCCTTCTCAATATTTAAACAAACAGCTGTATTTCTGCAACTGTGTTATTTTCCCCTTTGTTACAGGCCAAAGAAATGTATTACAGCAGGTTGAGCCAATGAAGATTAATGCATAAAAACTGTCTGGTAATCTTATCTGAATTGGAATCAGAATGACTTTGTATGTTCACATAATCAGACAGTACATTCCACAACACTCCAAGAACTGGCACATGAAAGCAGTATTTAGCTACTTAAGAAAAAACCAAACCAACCCTAAAACCAACAGAAGTCCCTGAAGTCCATAAGACAGACCTAACGAGCCAAAGCCTACAAAAGAACAGATATCAAAGTTGCATAGAAATTGCATATCTTTTTTGGCATGATAGTTGACTGTTCTAATAAGTACAGTATGAGTGATAGATATGATCATAAAGTGCACACCGATTATGATGTGACAGCTGACAAAAAATGGGGGGGGGGCACAAAAGAAAAAGAGGGGGATGGAAAGATGTGTACACTTAGAAAATCAACAAGCTAAAAGGGAAATGACAGCAGTTACATGATAGAGATTACTGACCTGGGAGGAAATTACTGCTCTAGTTTATCAAGAATCACATTTCAGATAAATCCCACACTTAATTTGTGTTTAGGTCACCGAAAGAAGTGAAGTTTGTTCATGACTCAGAAGAAGCATGCATCATCCAAGGAGAAAGATCAGAAAAATCCTACAAAGAACTGAATGATCTTTAGAACCACACCAACAAAAATGGAGCAGGGTAATAGGACAAAGTACCTGGTCGTGCACTCAAGGATAATAGGAATTTCTACTAAAAGCTTGAGGTTTCTTAATGAGGAACAACCATACGATAAAAGGACCTTGGTATATTAAGTGATAAGAAATATGTAGATATTGGACATGAAGAAGATAATTGTAGTTTTAGGATGTATCAAATGAGGCATTAGTGGCATTGAGCGTGAGACTTTCTGGAATGCTACAAACACAAATGACTAGATTGCACAAGGAAGATTAATTCAAAGGGGAAACAAGCGCGGAGAAGAGCTGTGCTCTCCTATGATTAGATCTCATAAATTCAGTTTTATGGCAAGAGAAAGGAAATACAGCCTGTTGAGGCTAGGAAAACAGGCCAGTAGGGATCAGCCTTTGACAAATATGTTAGAGAGGGTACCAAGAAACCTATTCTAGTTAAGAAGTAAGATTGGCACAAATGGATATAAATGGACAAATGGACCATAAATTAATCTTGGCTGAAAACCAACACTTGTTTCTAGCTGCAGGAGGAAGAAAATTCATAAACAGCCTTCCAGTAGCTATAATAAGGGCAAAAAATAAAGGAATCTTGCTTCCATTTCTGAATGCAGTTAGATGATAATCCAGAAGGCAGACAGCAACTTCATTGATTTAGCTCTATCTTTACACAGGTGCAGGAACGTACAGAAGAGAAAGAGACATTTTCAAACAGGCTGGGACTTTTTACAGGCAGGCAAGCTTTCATTTATTTGAACTCCATTCCCCACGCTCTACACTGTAAGCAAATTATGGAGTTGGGACTATTATTGTTCTAAAGGACTCTGTATTGGTACCAGCAATGAGGTGCCTACAGAGAGGTGCTATATTGGTAGACTAATAGGATTTATACTCTCTGGGAAGCTCCTGTCTCTACCTGGATTCAAACTGGAAAGCAAATGTACACGGCAGATGGGCTAACACAAGAGAAGTTTTACCTCAGCACCCATTAGCGTGTATCAGGAGCAGCATCACTTCAACTGTTGCACAGAATAAAGGTAACCCCTGTTCTGTTTGGCCAAGTGTTGTATTACCACTTCAAGTACTTATTGTTGGAGGGTTTTCTGTTTGGTTGGTGGATTCATTCCTTTGTTAGAACAAGATAAATGCTAGAACAACATCTGGATTCCAGTACTTGCAGGAACACAGTGACATGTCAACACTATCATTAGATACATGGGAGTCTGACATGTCGCTTTGAAGTTTTGCTTCAAAAGCACTGAAAGGCTTCAAGATGTCAAAGGCCCACGTTAAGTGACATTCCTCAGGAGCACTTTTGTTCCACTCATCCAGAGTCATGTCAAACCCAGCACTGCATCAGTACATTATGTCAGTCAGATACATCGTGCTTCATTTAGTAACAGGAAGCCTACACAGTAATAGGTATGTCTTAATTTCAAGATTCATTCTTTGTAAGTTAGAAAAGAGAAAATGTGTCAGCTATTTTAAATAAAATTCTGTATCTCAACCTGTTCTCAAGAAATATACTTGCACTCTTGAAACTAAAACCTGTGTCCTCCATGAGAACTACATTATCCATCACTTGAACTTAAAACATGTTACAGATCTCAAAACGCTTTCAAAATTTTTCCTGAGCTTCACAGTACTTATCGGTGATGTTAAAACGACAGCACTAGGAGCAGGACCCAGGAATCCAGACAGCTGCCTCTTTGTTCTGAGCTTGCCAAACATGCAGCAGTTTATTACTGTAGTTTTGACGCCTGCGCAACAGGCTGCTGACAAATATTTATAATTTCCTTCTCACTCCTTAATAGAGGGGATAAAAATAGGTACTGATGGATTTTTAAAGTAACTATGCCAAATAAAAAGTTTTGCACTTTTATCTAACTGTCCCCCAAGAGCATTCTCAATGTCCAGCGCTTAATCCACTGATTTACTAAAGGAACTTGTCAACTGCTAAAGCAAGGATTAGCTATACCTAATTCAGAAGGAGTTTTAAGTTGCCTAAATAGAAAATTAAGCCGGACGAGCAACCCTGAAGTAGGAGTAATTCCTGACGGCCAATTCTCATCGACTGTTTTGTTAACACACCGTCACAGTAAAAAAATCCAAGTCCTCCAACGGAACTGATCAAATGTCCCATCGAAGCATAAAGGTTAAAGCTCCATTAGTGCCGTGCAAGGGAACCTTCTCTTTTTTCAAATGTCCAATTGGAGACTGCGGTCACGGCGCATGCTGCCACGACGTTAACTGTGGGATGCTGCGATAAATACTACCCATAAAAATCTAACGCCTTCCTCCAAGTTTTACTCGGCATGCTGCTGAACGGGACAAAATGAATGCCCGCCCGGGAGTCACTGCTGCCTATCACCTGTAAGGGCGAGAGAGAGATCTGAGCAGAGCCCAGCTCAATGTCACGCCTTCCAGCGCCACACACCGAGCGGCAGCGCTCAGGCCACGCCGAGGACCAGGTCGCCGCGCTTCGCTTCGGTACGCCCTGCTCGCAGGGTCACAAAATTCAGGACAAGCTCGCCTGAGGGCGGGCAGCGATCCCGCCCAGCCGCCCGGCACCTGCGGCGCGGACCGGGGGCCGCGCT